ATACGATTGGCGTAGTGGATGGGGAACCAGCTGCTGAACGATGTGTAGTATTTCCGCCCGAAACATTATTTTGTGTGTTTTACAAATTGTATGTCTATGAAATTATAAAGATATACATATAATAGATAGACATAGACAGATGTCAACAAACCAATGCACGATATGAAATGAAATCCTTTTGTGGCACATTGTTTAAAAAGAAATTCTGGTATCCGCATAATAAATTACTGACTTACAAATGCTTACACAACAAAACATCTTTAAGAAAATAACGTGCTTCGAATAGTTTACTCGTGCGTTTTGTCATAGCAAATGCTAGTCATATAAATATATTTATTATATGCCAAGCATTACTGCATACTTTCCATAAGCTAACGAGACGTATTACGAGTACGATGGTCCACTAAGATTAGAGCATATAATGTACATTATCTATTATATTTTTATACTTCTATAAATAAGACATTATAATATTATCTTTGAGATATAATTTGAAGATTATTCTTTTCATCATCATCAGCCAATAAATGCCCACTGCTGAGCAAAGGCCTCTTCTCATACGGAGAAGGTTAGAGCATTAATCACCACGCTTGCTCAATGCGGGTTGGCGATATCAAACTTATAATTTGAAATTATAAGTCCAGGTTTCCTCACGATGTTTACCTTCACCGTATGTCAGTGGTGTCTAAATAATCATAGAAAGTACATATAACTCGGAAAAAGTCACATTGGTACTTGCCAGGTTTCGAACCCGCACCCTCATGCATGAGAAGCGGGCGCCTTAACCACCGGGCCACCACGACTTTTTACGACTTTTCACGATTATTCCTTTATGTGGAAAGATATATGTCACAAAGACGAATAATTTATTTATAAAAAAAATTAGCGACTAAGTAATGTAATGAGTAGTTTTGTTTTTAACTGCTCGAATAAGTTTGAAAAAGGTACACGTGATAAGTGATAATTTTTTTTTCAAAACCAAAGATTTGGATCTTTTGATACTAATTGTTATGAGGGAAAACCGTTGTTTAAGTACATATATTTAGTGTACATGTTTTTTTCGTCAAACCGATTTTCATCTTTTTATCTTATATTAAAAATTTAATTGCCAAACGACGATGTTTAAATATATCCTAACAAACTTAGTACTAATACCGGATACACTCCATCACTATACTTTGAAAGTCTGCATGAAATATATTCACACGTACAGATTGCCTTAAGCGATATTACACAGTAGACCATATCGGTGTATCTGTATCTGTCCAGTATCAGTATGTGTTACAAGATTATTAACTTGTATCGGCCAACTTACGTAATATGAAAAAATGCTGAACTGTCTTGTAGTCTTGTTGGTCAAGTGATAACCAGAATATCTAGAAAGCCTAAAATGGATGGTATAATTTACAAAATAAAATTATTGATTATTCTGTTTCCTAATTCATATACTTTATCTATACTAATCCAAACTAATATAAAAAGTAAGAAAAGAAAGTAAAAAAACTCTGTGTGTCCCTTTCTTTTCTTCACGTCTTTACTGAACCGATTTTGTGAAATTTGTTATAAACATAGTTTGAAACTCGAAATAGGACATAGGGTTAGTTATTATGCCAAAAATCTTCAGGAAGTCACTATTCCACGCGAACGGAGTCATATATTCGTATATAGAAAAAGTTACAGTTTAAAGGCAAATTTTCATTAAATATGTTACTAGTTCTCATGGCTAAAAGTTGGATACAAATGCCAACCTATGAAGATCGTTAGAGCTCACTTCGTTCTAAACACTCATTTGCAACATTGTACTTAGACACAAGGCATTGGGTCAGGTGGCGAACAAAGGTATTCAGGATCCTATACACCACAGAGGAGCAGGAGAGAGAACAGCGACGTTTTTAGTCAAAAGAGTCTGACACTCCCCTTCTCTTGGTAAGAGAAGATGTTCTCCTAAAAAACACACGTATATAACATGTGTGTTGTCTATATATAAGATATACCTTTTATATTTATATTATATTTAAGTGTGGGAGAGCCATGTTTTGGCACGAATGGGTCGGCTCGACCGGAGTGATACCACGGCCTCACAGAAAACCGGCGTGAAACAACCACAGCGTTGTGTTTCGCCGTGTGAGTGAGGTTACCGGAGGCCCAATCCTTCCCCTCCCCCAATCCCTCCTTAATGCCTGAATCTCTAAATCCCTAAAAGGTCGGCAACGCACTCATAACTCCTCCGTTGCGGGTGTCCATGGGCGCCGCTGATTTCTTATCATCAGGTAATCAGTCTGCTCGTTTGCCGCCCTATTACATAAAAAACACCTATACTGTCAATAATTGCTCATATAAAGGTATTTGAAAGATATAAATCAGATAGTGGTGTCGTATGTCACATACATTTGTATATATTTAAATATAGATAATAAAATGAATTAACCTCAAAGTGAACGCATTTGCAGTGTTGAGCAATAACTGATATTTTGTACATGAGAGTGCATTGACATTAACATCGGTGCAAGGCCACACGCCTAATACAATGCACTATTACAGACCTATTCAACTATTATACTAACTGAAACTAGCTTAGCGTCTGCGGTTTCGTCCGTAGAATATTTTTATAGGGAACACGGGTTCACTTGATCGACGCCAAATACTTACGACAAGGGATTAATAAAGGTGTTCTAAGTTTAATTTCTTTTCTCAAATCGTGGATTTCTGTATGTGTTATTTGAGACCGTTAATATTATGAACATTTCAATCGTGACAATTCCAGACACAATGGAAGAACAATATAGCGTAGTGTTCGCTTGGTGTTTGATGAATTAATGGTGAATATAATTATGTGCAGGCAAGTCTCTGTCTCCAATTTCAGAAATTAAAAATGCAGTTTTATGTGCTATGTATATTTCTAAGTTATCTATTGCTTGATAAGAAATATTGAAGCAAAAAGGATTCGTTACAACCCCTTGAAGAGAAGATAATGATGATATATTATTCAGCTTTTTGGAAGATGTACCTACATTTACACAACGCCGCTCCGGTGTTGGTTTGGAGTTAATTAATACGGTTATAGTCAGATTTTTTATAAAAATTGGTCTTAGAGATATAGTTATTACAGTTTAGTAACTAACTAAAATAAGTAAAAGATTAAGTGTGTATAAGGTGGTCTTCTAAACTGAAATCTATACTAAATACACCGGTACCGTACACAGATCATACAGAGCCCGGCTAAGAGTAGGAACAGTAATAGAGAAGCTTTAAGTCTGTACAAGTCTGACGACCTCTCTTGTCCCACATTGATAAATAGTAAGAATGTGAATGATTTTTATTTACCCTTAAACAAAAAACCTTTAAAAATGACGATGAAAAGTGTAATCTTTTATACATAAAGCCATATTGTCAGGTCAAATGCCACTAGGACGAGTCAATTAATATAATATTGAACACGTTTTCAATATATTAGTGACACAGTATTGTGAATTGCCTACAGTTACCGAAGGATTTCGAAGCCGTGACCGTCAGACACGACTAACTGTAAGATCCTGTATCTGTGTAATCTGTTTCTGTGCTAAAAGTTATTGCTTGAAGCAATAGCATTTAATTACAATCAATAGTTCGTACTAAGTTATCCTGTATTTATGGAACATAGACGGGTTTCGAGAAAGCCGTTTTTTTTTACAATGTCTCACTTACAAACACAATAATAGCTCTATCTCTAATACAATAATAGCAGTATTCTTAATTATGTATTTTATTAATCCAAATGAAAAACTAACGATTATACAATTTCATAAGAAATACTTTACAAAAATACAGGTTTTTACAACCTTTCGAAACCTGTGGATTCATCTTAATTTTAACAACTCTTAAGAATAAGTGTCAATAATCGGTCTTAATCTATACGAACCTATACTATACCTATACTTAAGGCTTAAGATATTTTGAGAGAGCAGTATTACTTTCTTTATTTTATCTGCCAACCACCGACCCACTCCGGCTTCGCAAGGGGGCAATGCTCATACTTAATTACTCCACTAATTGAAATGTACAATAAATATATTATAGTGTACCTACTCATTGTTGAGAAGCCTAAAATAAATAAATAAATAAACGGTGTTATACATCTAAACCTTTCTATTCAATCACTCTATCTAGTAAGAAAACCGCAATAGTAAATGTAGCATAGTTTTAAAGATTTAAGAATATATAGGGATTTATGGACGGATAAAGCAAGTTTCTTCGCAAAAAGTGACTTTGCGACTATTCACTTAAAAAAGGTAACTCTAGTAGGTACTTTTACTGGGTGTGAATATCGCACTTAGAATTTAGCGCCCAGTTACTGTCCATTCGGAAGTATAAGGTGGAAAATTGTTGATTAGTTTATTTACACAATTTCTACGCTATCAAAGGTACATGATAGTAGAAAAGTAATTTATTACGTTGCCTAGCAAATCTGGCGCCATGAGAACGAGTATGCAAATTATTTTAGAGGGCATCGTTCGTATTGCAAGTGGAATTATTGTACCTTCAAGTTGTAATAGATAATTACATAACGGGCGAAGATAAATCGCTTGGAAGAAAATAACGTATCTACTACCTTGTTTCTAAGACTTTTTTCCTAACCCAAGGACATATATGACCTCCTTTAACTAATAACTGTAAGCCGTTAAGATAAATCAATGTGTTCGAAAAACAATTTTATCAATAATATCCATTATTACCAGTTAAAAAAAGAAATTGTAAAATATAGACTAATAAAAAAAACAATTATAAAAAAATAAATTTTATTTAAATATTAAATTTCGTTTTTTCGAACTCAAAATAAGAACAAAACAGCAAAAAGTTCATATTCGATATCCGATGCTCCAATTTAAATTTCGAATTCGAACACACACATACGAGTATTTTGCCATACTACTCCCGCCTTGGCCACCTACAAGCTAGAAGGGGTGCCCCTATATATAGTCACAGTTACTTACACGCATCGCATAATACCTACGTAAATACGTCGCGAGTGCAGTGGCTGTACACCATTCTATTTTTTTTAAATAAATATTTTTTGTGAGTGCAACATGTTACGTCAGTGTGTCACGTTGGCAGTATTGGGGTGTGTTTTCGCGGTTCCCGCGCCCCAACACCAATACCAACCTCAGCATCAACAAGTGAGTTTTTCTTTTTTTATTTATATGGCAGTGATTTTTATATTTAGAATTTATTGTATTTTTTTTTATTTGAAATTGCTATAAATTATATTATCGTTGGAACTTTTCATTTTGATATAAATAAGTATGGTTTTATTTAAAAAAAACGGTTTTTGAGTTCATTAAATGTCTAAGAAATTTCAAAAGTCTTTTGGAAGTAACTTTATGAACTTTAGCTTCAATGTGACTAGTTTAATAAAAGTTTTGAAGTTCCGATCGTTCTCAGGTTGTAGACTCCAATTAACCCCACACACCTTCAACCTTACGTATCGTATGTGCCTAAACACGTTAATTTATATTGAAACAATAGAATGCCAAATCCAATGATTCCAAATCACGCTTTGTTACTTAAATGTCATAAACTAAAAAGCGTTTCCAATTAATCTTAAGTATATTTATATTTTTACGAATGTTTAGAAACAATTGTTTTTCTAACATTCTCTTTAGTCATTCAGCCAGTGCCAGTACCTACAAAAGCCTACCTACCTTAAATTGGCATTAAGTAAAAAAGTTTTTATTACAATTTAAAAAAAAATATCAAAACCCCTTTAATTCATTTTTGTGTAAATGAGTATCAATTTACGAATAACAAACTTACATCATGACACAAACTATCGCATTTAAAATATTAGTAGAAATACATACCTTCTATGGTACATCTCTTAAGAAAATTCGTCAAATAATTAATCCTCTTTATTTATTTCAATTCACCGAACTGTTAACATCTGAACGTTACGTAACTAATAAGTGTACACACATAAAATAAACTTTACACAAAATTCCAATGTCTCTGATTTATAAATGCTAAAATTAAATATGAGTTTAGATTATTAATAGTGGCACTTAGTATTAACCTTAATGTCGGCCGCGTCTCACCGCTGAGAACTGTAAGCCATGTAACCTATTGTTAGGATTGCGTTAACGTGGACCTCAATTGCATCAAAATTACATACACTATATTATTTAGGCTCTTTTGAAATCTCAAGTCTTTTACTTTTAGTCGTTAAAATTTATTTTACAGTTGTTGATTTTAATATGGCCGTTGTATGGTAGATGTGTGTTTAATTGTATAACCTAATATTATTGACTCGTTTTCCAAGAATGAATTGTCACAAAACAAGGAACTAAGTAAAACCTTATGATAGTTAAGTGATTTCGATAAGAATACCCAATTTTAGACGTGTTTATTTTAGGAGATGGTAACTTTAACGTATTTTAAAGTTCGTATCGTAAACGTACCTTGAATACTCATAATATTATTACGTAAAGGACTAGTATCGTCACAGGAAAGTTGGTTTTACTTTCAATATGTTCCTCTCTGTCACTTTGAGGAATATAAATTTAATGTAACATGGTCTTATCACTAATTACTTTTTCCAAACTATCCAAACTAATATTATAAATGCGAAAGTAACTCTGTCTGTCTGTCTTTTCTTAACGCCTAAACTACTGAACCGATTTATGAGTAGTACATACATAGTTTGGAACTTGAGAAAGGACATAGGATAGTTTTGTAAATCAAGAATCTGCAGGAAGTCGCTACTCCACGCAAAATAAGTCGCGGACAAAAGCTAGTATAAAATAAAGTATACTTAAATATGACTTAAATCTTTAAAACTACTTAACTGAGTTTGATGCAGTTTGTTTTAGCAGTTAGATTGATTAAAAAGAAGTGTTTACATGTATAATATCATCCATTTAATAGTGGAGACATTTAGTATTACCATTGCACTCGTGTGAAGTTACTTTCAGCTCATGGAATAAATTCAAAAACTTTATCACGAATTCTATGAACGCAGTATTGATAAAATCATAATAACTATAATAAGCCCACGGTCAATAGAAAGGTTATCGAAAATCTATTTGCACGCTTTACGTTGGGATTAAGATAAAATTGTAGATTAAGAACGGTTTACAAGGGATTCCGATGCCAATGATTGTTAGATAGAGTTTTTAAAAACATTGTTTTATCGAAGCAAAATTATTAGGTACTAGCTTTTGCTGGCCACTCCTTTCGCGTGGAATGGTGACTTTCTGCCGATTTTATAAAAACTATCCTATGTCCTTTCTCGAGTTACAAACTATGTCTGTACCAAATTTTACACGAATAGGTTCAGTAGTTTAGGCGTGAAGAAAAGACAGAAGCATTTATAATATTAGTTTGGATTAACTTTCAACGAAATGGAAAAAGAAAATATTTACACACAACACAAGCAGTCGCCTGCATTTACTGCCTACGCCCGCGTGGATGTCTATTTGACACGTTTTCAAGTACCCGCTTTTCTGTTGATTTTTTCCTGAATTTGTGGAAATCACTTCGTGCGTTCTGGAGTTATAGCGTCAGGAAGGAATACACGACTTATTTTTATATAGTAGAAAGACTGTTTAAAACATTTAATTAACGTTTATAGAACAATATTTAATCAGAAAAAATGACAAGATGCTTACTCAAGTTAAATAACTTTAGTAATAATCTAAATTTATATTATAAATGAGGAAGTAAATCTGTCTGTCTGTCTTTTCTTTACGCCTAAAGTACCGAACCTATTTGCGTGAAATTTGGTATAGACATAGTTTGGAACTCCAGAAACGACATAGGAGAGTTTTAAACCAAAAATCAGGAAGTCAGTATTCCAAGTGAACCAAGTTGCGGGCAAAAGCTAGTAAAAGAAATATAGCGTGCCAAGTCTATACACAACTATCAGCACGGTTTATTCCTGTTATGACCCTAAAGTTTGTTTTATAGTTAGTAGAATCGATGTCATACATTTCTAGTTGATTCAAAGGCTTAAAAATAGTTGTTTAAGAACTACCCTGTCTTTTGAAGTCATCAATTATTTATTCTAAACTCATTGACTAAGAAAAGAGGCCAGTCTTTTAAGCGAACTGGGTCAAGGATTCTCTTTGTTTCAATTATGGTCCTCTTTTGCTTTCATTACCAATTTTACTTTCGTTTGTTAAGTCACATTTAAGAATGTTCTATGAGAAAAGAAAGACAAATTATGTTCAAAATGGCAGGCTTTTTTATATGTCTTTTAATCGATACTCAATAATTAAACGTTTAGCAACAAAGTCATGTAACTATTATAAATTCCTAGCGTGATTACGTGAAATGCGATAAACTTTATTGTGACATGCAACGGAACGATAGTAACAATTTTAAACAACAATAAAAAGTAAAAAGCAGTTTTAATACAAAAGTAGTACGTCCGCTATTTCGATGAAATCACATGTGACTGTATTGCTTCACTGAACAAAATAATGAGTGCAAACAGACCGGAAAAATTAACATCAGTTTTTGCACAACTTGAATGTATGGACACACGTGTTTTTGGCAACCCACGACAAATCGAGCGAAACGTTAGGCTGCGATCATTCGCATGAAAAAACGCGACACGACACACGACAATATGTGCTTCCTTGTCGGAAATTCATTGTAGAGTATTTGTTTTTCATTTAAATTTCTATGCACTTAAACCTTTAAATTTAAACTAGACAGTTCTTGAACTTCGCAGGTTCCATATTTCACAATGGTTTAAAATATTTAGGACCACAATAAGAGTTTGAATGATCTACAAATTTTTGTTACGAGTCTGGGTGTAATGTATTTGTCAAACTGTGTATTAGAAAATCCGGGTAAATTTTAACAGGGTAAAAATTAGTAGAAGAAGTAAGAAATGATTGAGTTTTGTTTTGTTAGCTTTTCTTCACAAATAATCATCATTTGCTTAGACTATGAACCAATGCATTTTAAGTTTCAAATCATATCTGTCTTTATATAAAATAGTCACATTACATGAACAAAAATACACGTCAATCAACCGCGTCCTAACAGTTCATCTACACTGTTGAACACGTTGTTACACTTTTTGAAGTTTCACAAGTTTAGTGGTTCGTTTTATTTCGAACAAGATAATTGGATTAGCGTTATGTAATCATTTTGATCGCACTGATTATCACGAGGTTACTTGCCATTTAATAGTCGCTTATTTTTCTAATGGATGCCGATGTAACAGCAACAAATTAGGCCTCGTCTCGGCTTAATTGGATGTGCATTGTTGCCGACTATTATGCCCACAGATTATGACTGTTATGTGATATTAAGTACATTGTGTAATTCACTGCTTAAGGTGTGTGTGTTTTTGAGATCGTTGAAATCTTTTTATATTTTCACGGTTCTTTGGGTCAACCTGATTTGAAATTTTTGTAGAAATTCAGTTTCCAGGCTGTTTCTTTATCATTAAGTTATCTGAGACTATAAAGATCATAATTAATATTAGAAAATCAGAACCTTATTTACGTTACCCAGTTTTTTAAAGTGCAATGATGATTTTTCCTTTTTAATTCATCGAATATATGTATAATTCTGATCTAACACCAAGCTTCACAGATTGCTATATAAAAGTGATCGAAATAAATGCTTGATTTTGGCTTTCTATTATAACTAAACGTTTGCAATTTTTGTCAGCAGGCTGGAGGATATGATCCACACCTTCTAAGACAGTACCTCGCTGACCAACACGCCGCGGCGCCGGCGCCTGCTCCTACACAAATCATCCCTAGGCCACAACACGTACAACAAGCTGTGCCCAGACCCGTAAGACGTTTATTTCTTGACTTATTTATCCAAATATTGTGTTCTTGAACATAATAAATCATAAATAGATTATTAATTTCTAAAAGATTATTTGATTAAAACTTCTCCTTATCAAATTCTTACTTATTTTTTTCATTCTTAACATTCACATTACTTTGTCTTTATCATCATCAGCATATAAGTTTCCACTACTGAGCAAATGCCTCTTCTCACACGGAAATGGGTTTTAGCTTTGATCACCACGCTTGCTCAAGGCGGATTTTGCCATAAAGTGTCCGTACTTTAAATACCTAAAAGAAGAGTATCTTCTCGCAACATCATCAATTAGCCTACATCATTATACATAAATAGTTAGTACTAGATATCCACAGTACATCAAATCAGCTAGAATAACAATGATTTATAACAAAGAGGTAGTTTTTGACCGAATCTTTTATCCGCAACCCCTATTCCCAAAAGGCCGGCCACGCACTCGTAACTCATTTGGTTTGCGGATGTTCATGGTCGGCGCCGATTGCTTAGCATCAGGTAATCCGTCAGCTCGTTTGCGACTTATATCATAAAAAAGAAGCCATTATAAAATATCTAGTGAAACATTTTCCTTGAGGCCAATGTCGATCAATTTTTACAATGCCAATTTTGATGACACACAGTACTTACTACTTATTGACATATGAACTTCACAATATTCTTCACTTCCAGGCTCCTCAGCATCTATACACGGTCCAAAGCGAGGCCCAATACCAGCCACAGCCCCAATACCAACCACAGCCACAACAGCAGTACAGGCAGCAGCAGCACCAACCCCAGTACCAGCCCCAAAGACAGCAAGAACAGCGCGAACCGGAGGAATATGATGTAAGTTCATATTGTCAATGAAGATTTAAGTATAGGCAGTAAAATTTCAAATCGATTTATTGATCATTTGGTCACATTGTAGAAAATTACTGGAACAGTGTATCTTTTCAATAGTAGTAGAGCAAAATTCGCGCAAGATTATGACTAAGTAGGTTGAATAGTGTAGTTGAAATTTAAAAGAATGAATTATATATTTACCTACTTCACATCCCAATTACAAACAGTTTATGGTCTATTAAGAAAACTATTGCAGTCACGTAAAATTACGTTCATTCTACAATAAATTTAAGTACTTCCAACTAAATGTAGCGTACAATTCATCTCATTGTGTTATAACACAAGTATATGACTGAATTTTATTAGTATTGTTATAAATGAAATAATGTCTACAGTGCAATGACTATCTAGGTTAGTCTGCAGAAAATAGAAAAAGTGCAAGCGAACTGCGTATTTTATTTTGTTTTAAATGTAGCGGTGCTAGCATGACAGTGTAATAATAAATTAAAAGTAGGACTGTTTCGTGAGTTTACTAACTTGTTACAATCAGTTACTGATTACAAAGTCTGAAGGTCAAAATTAAAAGGGGAAAAATTTAAAAGGACCATGGCAAATTTTCTCTGGTTTTTAGGCACAAAGTCAGCAGGTACTAACCAATTTGTTTTCCCTCAATAACCAAAAATAAGTCCAGTGTAAACTGTAGTAGAAAATATGTAGGATGTGTTTAAAACGAGATATTATTGAAACATCAACAATACAATATATACAATAACAATTTGTCTATTCTTGTAGCAAGACGACATCGTATTCCTTTCTCTACCTTTACAAGCTCAAAGTTACATAAAATACTTAGAACTAACACAATTTCAAATGTAAATCGAAGCCGGAATAAATCCAACCTAGTTCATTTCGTTTCCTTATAACCGATACAATCCAACGTATAGCAACACGGATGGATCATATTAACAAGTGCAGGAATACGGTCGGCTGCAACTTTCACTTAGAACCTGTATACGGCTTGATAAAGCGCTTTACGGTCCGGCCACGGGAACCGGAGGCAGCGACAGCGAAAGGCGCCATGCTTAGTAGGTACAATGGATAAATCGAAATTGTGATCATATTTTTGAGAGGAAGTCTTTGTTTTTTTTTTACTTTAATAATTAACTTCGTTGAAATAATCGCCAATTAGGGTCACGATTATAATTTTTCGATCTTAGAATTTTTGTTTAGAATCTCAAAAGACTAATGTTCAAAACTTTGGAACAAGCGCTAGAGGACAGACCGACAGACTGACCAATTGAGTATTTAACTTCTTATACTTATTTAATTATTTAGTGTGAAATTCAAAAGTCTAATATGGTTGTAATTTTTTCGGTTTTTCTTCTCCAAAATTCTTTCATTGATTTTGATTCATTGATTGATTGTGTCCAAAAACCATAGATGGCAAATGCTGACTTCTTCTGCCGTGCTTCCAATCTTGCTATTTCGAGACAATACAAGAACAATAGATCTAGCAAACTATTTGCAAAATTAAACAATAAGTTCAATTCATTTGTTGACGTCGCTTGTCGGGCGCTGTCGTTTCCGCCAATTTTTATGACTAGGCTGTGCGCTACAGCGCAGTCGCCGCATGAGATCAATTTACGATAGCCAATGGAAACCAACTTTCTTAAATTATAGCTGCAATTAATCGTTTCAATCTTTAGTTACGGTATAAAGCAAACTTATACAGGTGTAGCTAGTTCAAGTAGGTACAGGACGAATATATTAGTATCTGTCTTAAAAAAATACGCGACAACATTATTATCCCTATCACATAGATGGTTGACAGTCAACAACTGTAGGATTTTCGCGAAACTTTCTGCCTCGCTCAGCAAAACTTTGGAATGATTTTTTGGCGGCGGTATTTTCGAACCGGTACGACCTTCAAACCTTTTTAAAAGGTCGGCAACACGCCTGTGACTCCTCTGGTCTTTCAGATATCCATGGGCGGCGCTAATCACTTAACATCAGGCTATCCGTCTGCTCGTTTACCTCCAATACGGTTCAAACAAATATTAACATAATATATACTCTTTTCTTTCAGCCTCATCCCTCCTACCAGTTCGGTTTCGACGTGAACGATGACCAGTACACCAACTACCAGAACCGTAAGGAACAGAGAGACGGTGACGTCATCAAGGGCTCTTACTCTGTGGTCGACAGCGATGGTTTCGTCAGGACTGTGACCTACACTGCTGATCCTAAAGAGGGTTTCAAGGCTGAGGTAAGGATTCTGATCTTTAAAACATAAGTCTATTTGATATCGCACACTTTCACCCGCTGATCGGCTCTAATTGATCGTAGCGTGATGATTTATAGCATGTACCACTCACACTATAGCTATCTATCAATGTAAGAATTAGACTAGAAAAAAATTAAAAATTTTACCTCTTTATAAGAAGAGTATATCTAAGCTAAGTATAGATAAAAAAACAAACGACGTACGTACTAGGTAGGCAGATATCTATCTTTTTCCACATTACCTACCTACATCTATTTAAGTAGGTACAAACCAGTCAACTAAAGACGCCGATAGTATATACTGAGGGGGGAGTGGTAGAGGTATTAGAGGGAGTGTCAGAGTCTTACTGGCTAAAACCCCCGTTCCTTCTCCTTCTCTAGGCCAAATAGCGTGATACATACTATTTCAATTGCATATAATAACAAATCAAACGATATACCAATATGAAACCAAAGTAACTAGGCCATGGGTTCACTTAGTCGGCATTATTTAATCGCATTAAAGATCTGGCTGACCCACTTACGACGAATCAAGCGACTGTGTATCTATTGTTTCGCATGTAAGGAAGTACTTACACAAACGAAATTGTTGCTAACAAATTTAAGTTTCACTGACTTACCTTCTTACTTAGTACCTACTAGTATCTATGTTTTTGTCAACATAATCTAAGTCCGTCAATTTTACAGCACATTCAATCGACGAGAATGTTGATTAAGAATTATGTAAATAATTATGGCAGAATACGGTAGTTTCCAACTAGTCAAATTCAATACTTTTTTCCAAATGTCAAAAACTATACTTTTCTATGCAATTTGTATGACGTCATAGTATTTTTGTGTCAAATAGTTTACTTATTTCTTAAAAATTACCTAGCTAAAAAATATCTAAAATTCAATGTATCGATCGATCGAAGTAGAGTACCTATTGAAAAGTATAGTTATTTTTCAGTATTTTGCTGTATTTAAACGTCGAATTAATTTATTTCTGAACTAGGAAACTACCTAATTGTGTCATCATCATTGTGTTGGTCAATCGAGGGTGACAATGATGATTTAACTATTTAACTGTAGGTACCTACAAACCTTCAATATTACTGAAATATCGCTTATTAATTATGTTTATTGGCCACACAGGTATCAAGGCAGCCCACAGACATCGTAGTAAAGATCCCCACTCCCAAGCCCCAGCTTCTTCAACCTCAAGTACAGCACGCTCCTCACGCCCAGCCCAGGCCACAGCAACCACAACACGCTGCCCCACAACAATACTACCGTTACGAACAATAAGCTATTAAACCTTTGTCTACATATTTATTGTGTTTAGGGAAATTAGAATCAAGTTTTAAGAAAATAAAGATAAATTTCAATTAACAAATGCATGTTGAAGATACAGGGGGATTCTATTTAGATTGGTAAAATTTTGAATGTTTTTTTTTTCACCTTTACCAAGAGCTATGATAATGTTACCGATATCTTATAACCCTGTATTTAAAGTAGAAATGTAACTAAAAGAAAATTTTATAGGTCAGATCTCAAGCCATATTTGACCAACAGAAAGATAAAAGCGTTTTCCCAAATTGGTTTGTAATTATCAAGTCATATTTTAGTAATTCAAACCAATATTGCATAGATAATGTAGACAGTTATATTCTTAGTTAGCTTGTATTATATAGTTGTGTAGTTGTATTTAGATACTCTATGCCTCGTTAATTAAGTTATGGATGACAATAAGTAGGTATTTGAGTATAAGCTAAAAATAAAGGAAGTTTTCCAAACACCTAAATACTACGTTTTTTTATAGAAAATGCCTACAATGTGTTTTGATCTACTTAATAAACAACAGTTTATTATTGGATTAATCTTCTTTATCGCCTTCATTCTCAATAAAATAAACAAAGTGTAAGTAATAAAAGCAAAGCAAAATAATTGTGATTGTATAAAAGAATGCCAGAATATGTAGCTTATTCAATGTTAATAAAGTTACTATTATTTAACAATAACATAATCTGTTTTCCTCATTTTCCTTAATTTCCATTTGTCGATACTTACTTGTAAGTAGATTATTAAACGATGGAGTATTCATAAACGTTTAGTTAATTGAAATCATCAGCTTATAAATGAGATGAGGCCTTTGCTTAGCAGTGGGCTAAGCAAAGGCCCCTTCTCATACGAAGATGGGAATCATCTTAAATGTAGGTACATAAAACTTGGAAGTAGTCATATTGGGGCTTGCACGAGAAGTAGGCACTCCAACCTCTAGGCCACTATTACATATATGTATAGTAAGTATTTAAAAGTATTCGGTTAAATGTTCTAAAATACCATTTTTTGTTTGCAATGAGCCATCGTTGATCACTGTTAGAGACGTTTAGTTTTGATAGCCTACAGTTTGAAACTACACACATATAAGCCCACAAATTGTAATAAAACAAGCATAATAATTTCCATTAAAATTTATTAAATCTTTGATACATTCGTTGTTCGTAACTAAACGTAACATGAGCAATTCACGAAGTCATAATAAGATAAAATATTCACATTTATAAGCTCTCTCATAAACTCTATTCGTTAAATTATAAATAAATCCGTCATGCAACGGTACATAGAATAAATAAAAATATTTAATAAATTAACAAAAAAATAAAAATAATATTCAGTCTGTTTAATAAGTTAACTTTTAATGAAAAATGGCCGACAAATTTTAACTAAGGGTATAAATTTTTCGGCGATTTTACAGTTGAATAAATGCACCCTTTATAATATAAAAAATAATGTCACCCTCTCATAATAAAATATTTTTCTTTTAACCAATATAAAATCTAATAAATGCGTCAATAGTCTTAAGAATTTTAGATTAATTCATCTACATTATATGTATAATGTTTATAAGTTTGTCTCTTTAATTTTTAAACAGTAAATTGTGCTAAATCATCCACCAATGTGTACCAAAGAAAAGCAGGTAGGTACATACCCAAAGAAGATCAACATTCAGCCAGACAACGCCAGCAGACATGTTAATCCTTAAAAAGAGAATAACCTTTACATCTCGACAACAAGAAAACAATCATAAAAACTTTCGAAAAATAAATAATAAACTTCAACTACAAAATGGCGGGAAAGAACAGCCATCTTGCAAATTGTCTATTGGACGGATCATTTTTTTTTAATACTTTGCTACAGCGAATGGTCTATGGTCTATGTGTCTATGGCACCGGGTCTGGTCTACAGACACACCCAGACTCTACGAGCACGTAGTCTTGACCTGTTAGCGTCACTGGTCCGAGTGGAAGAACCAAGAAGAGGTAGGGCACGTACGTCTGTGAACAGGTCCCTCTTACTAGGGAGCACTCACTTGACCTGAAAACAAAGCAAAAATTAGGTCCCACTATATATTTTACCATGATATGTGAAATACTTCATATTTTTTATAAGTAAATTAATGGTGGAAGTATTTACCTATACGATACGTGTTTCTTAAATAGACATGATATGTGTTTCTGGCGCGTACGGCGTACCAGACTAAGAAGTTTACCTTACAACTTCAAAAAAAATTTGAATATTCTAAGCTCTATTAACAGAAGCAGTGCTTTGCTGATCATTCCATATTATAACCTAAATATCATAATTAATTCGTTAAAATAATTTTAAAAGATACTTACTCGCAAACCTCAAAGACGACTTGCTGCAATAAGTCAGGGAACTTCTGCACTATAGTGACGGGCTGTCCCGAAGTTAGAGACACTCCGTACATAGGAGCGGTAGTGTTGTACCTCGTCCGGCATAATCTAGTGCCGCCACACGAGTTTGTTGGCGCCGGCGACAGACCGGGCAGGTTTGAGGAGCGACCTAGAATTTAAAAATAGTTTTCTATAGGCCAACAAGTAACTTTCAGGTTTATATTTATAGATACCTACAGATCATTCATTTCCTCAGGTACTAGCTTTTACTCAGGCTTGTCCCTCGTTAGTGGGATTATAAATAGCCAATAAACCTTAGTCTATGTAAATTTGTAATCAGAATTGTCTAGCCTTTTACATGATTGGATAAAATATACATATAATTTATAAGTTCAGTACAAAATTAACCTTTCAATCGTAGTAATTCGTCACTATAGGAGAACAGTATGTGCGCGAACGCTTGGGATTTGATGAGTTAAGTAGGTACTAAGCACCGATCAGACAATTTTGATTCACCGTGTCCTCAGCCGAGAAGCTCCGATGGATTGGATGGTATAGTCGCTGTTAGGCTATGCCCTAAGTTCCTAAGTCCATAAGTCCCCTAGCCATCGGCCATGAATTTGTAACTTCTCTGCTGTTGTAAATGTCTATGGACGATGCAGATTGCTTACCTTTAGATGATAAGATGGCTCCTTTGCTTCCTTATACTATTAAATACGTCCTCAAGAACTTTCATACTAGGATCTATTCATATAAAAATAACTTAATAACAAACATAGCAAATTCTTACCGGTTCTATTGCTGCCTTGCGTAGGTACACCCTCTGAGTAACCGGCGTGTGCGTCGAGTAGCGCTCGCCTCATGAGGGCAGGATCCACCGTCCGCAGTCCTCGACCTTGCCTTGAAGACTGCCATGGACCTGACTTCAGAGCTCTGTTCACTAAGTGCCTGAAATTCGTATTTTTTATGGTTATTTACATCAATTCAGAGTTACTATTAGTACAGTCGATCGAGTTTTTAATTCTTGTTTGGGCCAAGAATCTAGGTAGATTGACACGAGCTTTACTGATTGAAATTTAATATTTAATCTGTTGTTATATTAGGGTATGGCTCTGATCAAGGAAAAAGCCTTGGTCAGAGGGGTATGGACAATGAAAGCCTATCAATAGGCCACTACCGACTGGCTTTTTGCAGCTATGCTTTTATGTTTCAACTGAATTCCTTATGAAGACAGTTTCTTATGAGAAAACCTTTAAGATCTATTTTTCCGCTAAAAACGGTTTATAAAACGCTAAAAATGCGAAAGCGTCATCTAAGATTAACGCAGAAACAACAACTCTCATCTAGCTTACCGCGGAAATTGCACTGTTAAAGTTTACTAAGCTGACTACTAGATGTCGTTAAAAATAATAATAATGAAGCATGCGCGCCGTTACGCTCTGCAATCAACAGGTGAACAGACGGGCGTAATAATCATCATTTCGCAATTACATTATTAGGTACAAACATTAAGTCGGTGGCAGAACAAAGGTGGGACCTAGTGAGAAAGTTCCCACGGCTGAAGAAAGAAATGTAGGACTGTGCATTTGAATTAACGGATCTTTCGCGTACTTCACACTCATTACATGTCATACATTATGGTCTAAAATTGTTTTTTGCGTGATTCGCGCTCCATTGTTTCCGGGTAACGTGTTTTGTTACACTAATACGTAGCTTGGCGTTTAAAGCTTACTTAAGTCTTTCTCATGTAGGTAGTACACTTATTGAACCAACTTACGTACAGATTGCAGAATCAGAATAACACTTTTTTCGGGTATGTTAGATTCGTCACCTATCTAAAACATATGTATCTTAACCGGATTACTTTATTATTATTCGGATATGCAATGTATAACAGATAAGTACATGCAATGTATAACCGAATAAAATGTGTAGACTACAAAAATGTGTATACAAATAGACTGTACTAACTAATAGGAAGACACGGTGGCTACGTAGCTGGCTGCCGTGCAAGGTGTCGCGGGTTCGATTCCCGCACGGAATAAGTTTTTGTTTAGACCACAAATAGTTTCGGTTTTTTTTTTGTTTTTTTTTTTGTGAGGGGAAAATCATCAAATGACTTCTCCCGCCCAGGGCCGGGCAGGAGGGAGTGTCAGACTTTACTGACTAAAAACCCCCCTGTTCCTTCTCCTGCTCTATGCCGAGGTCCCGGTGCCTCATTGCGCTTACCCCCCAACCCCGGCTGAGTTGTTTCGGGTCTGAGTGTGCTTTGTATATGAAATTATTGGTATATATTACTAGATTGTCTATACATTCGTTTACAAACGAATGTATAGACAATCTAGTGTGAGAAGATGCATTTTCTTAAAATCTTATATATAAAAATTGATCGCAAAATGTGTTGGTAAGTGCATAACTCAACAACGCCTGGACCAATTTTGGTAATTCTTTTTTTGTTGAGTTTGTTATTGTCAGGAGAAGGTTCTTAGGTTCTTATCAAAGAAAATATTAGAAAAATAGAGGTGAAGATTCGGAAAAAGTGACACTTTGATAGCTAGATAGTTGAACCCGTGCGAAGCGGGGGCGGGCCGCTAGTAAGAAATAAGAATAAAAGTTAATATTTTTAGAAAAACATAAAGTACTCAATAGTACGACCCAGGAATCTATTCCGACTCAATTTGCCCGCTAGTGATTAGCTTTGTACTTGAACAGCAAGGCAAACTTTATCAGGCTATGTACCTAAAACCAAATTACTGCACAATTTCCTATTATCACGAGAGAGCCGTGCTTCGGCACGAATGGGTCGGCTCGACCGCAGTGATTCCACGGCCTCACAGTAAACCGGCGTGAAACAACCACAGCATTGTATTTTGCCGTGTGAGTAAGGTTACCGAAGGCCCAATCTATGGAACTGATGATGGTGGAACTAATTGCTTATCATCAAGTAATCCGTATGCTCGTTTGCCAAACATAAGAAACAAAAAACAGCATTAGGTGCCTACAGGCAGGTAGCAAGGAGCTTCGTGGGTTTATCATACATTGCTCATAATGTTTGTATTTGCGCGGGCAATGATGCGGCTAGAAGCTGCAATGTACAATGAAAACGCGACACCTCACGAAGTCTGTGTAAACGAGACAAGGAACCTTACACTTATTACTATGATGAGTCTAATAATGTTCAGTGTACTGTTTTGACGTCATAACAACGATATATACGACGCGGCACGCCTCTATAACATGTTTAGTATCTGTAGACTTACTAGAACTTAGTACCTAATCATTTTACTACTATGTATAATCATTTTAAAAACTAGTAACTAACTAAACGATTAATTTGCCAATAAAACCATTTTAAAGATAAGAATAATTTTAATTGAGTGCCTACGTGAGATCACGATACTTAATAGAAATTCAATTATTTAATAAATCTAAAATTGGAATTTATGTAGGTAGGTACGTTTAAATAGGGGAGTAGGTACTCACATAGTCAATATAATTATTTTTGTAACGACATTACATGTCAAAATATTTACAAATGTAAGCTATTTATGCTTTTATTAAGCAACTGTTAGTTAAATATTTGATTCTTCCCTTTCATTATCAGTCTCACTGTCATCATCCTGTTCAAACTTAATAAAATTTCTTGGTAAAACAATCGACTCTCGCAGTTTTAGCTGTTTCGGGGCTACAGGATCTTTATTTTGTAATACCGTTACGAGATCATCTTCCGTTATCAAATCGTCGTACACATTCTTCGACATGAAACTAGCTAAACCACTTTTCGGATTCCCGCCAAACACCATCTCACTAGGAGTTCTGCACAATACCTCGTTGAATGTAGTGTTCAATTCGTACTGTACAAACTTCACACCTTCCTGCCACTTCCTATTATCATATTTAACCAACCATTCATTTAACTTCTTCAATATATCCTCATTAGATTTACCTTCAAAATCAACTTTTGTAAATGTTGAATCCGATGTGACTACCTTAATTTGGGGACACAAAGTTGATATTCGTCTACATATCGGTTTAACTAAAGCTAATCCATTTAGTGATTGCAAAATATTTGGAGCTCCAAATATCAAAAATATAGTCAGGAGCTCGTCAACAGCTTCGTCAACGCTCAATGTTTTCATGGCCTTCAAGTGGATGAATTTAGAAATAAAGTTTCTATATACCATCAAATATTTATATTCTTCGGTTATTTCATTTGTAACGCTTAGAATATCAACTTGACCGCGCGAACAAAGTTCCGGAATCTTATAAGTTGAATACTTTAATGCTCGTAGTATATCTTCAGGTTCCATTTCGAGATTAGAGGCTGAACACTCAGAAATCCGGTGAGACGAAGTGTCATTGCAACTTTCTACTACATTCTCACTAACTTCACTCGTATTTAAACCCGGTTTCCATCGTTTACTTGGCGATTTATTTTTACAAGTCGCACACATTGACAAATATACTAATACACTCTCAGCGGTAACATTTCGATATTTACGTTTTAACTCCACCATCATACGACTACGACCACCATGATTCAGCTTAACGTGGTACTCTGCTATAATATCATATACTTCATCTATCGATACAACCATTTGCCGCCTTTTATCGCCCCAAGAACGCGCCGAGTACAATCTTTCTCCGTCTGGCGTTTCAACGATTTCAAACTTTTTCAAACGTCTGTAATCCGCAGGCGTTTTCTTCGCAGTTGATTTAGCGTATTTAATTTTTTCAATAAGCCAACAATATTTCTCTCGTGACAGCAATGTTGAATTGGATGCCTTTTTTGTTAATACTTCGCATAATTTCTGGTAAAACTCGTTTCTATCGACATCTTCATTGCTCGGTTTTTGTATAACAGACAATGAACCGCTTTCAGCCATTTTGAACACAAGCTAGACAACAATTATAAGAAAAACTGATAACTAACGCACGAAAACACAATCAGAAGTAAAATAAACATATTATACTGACTGGTCAGACCACGAAATAGCAATATGGCCGAGGCGAAGTTGTCCGAGCGCAACCGGATAGTGCCGAACACAAACGAATATGTTCGGTCTTTCCCTGGCACACACACACAACCTCGTAGGTATCGATATCGACTAGTGAAAACGCATATTACCCAAAGCCTTTGAAACTGATTTCCTACTTTGACTAGGTACATCTAGACATGGGACTAAATTCTTTATTTAATATCAAATTCATAATTATGAATTATGACTATCGTAGCTTTGATTGGTACGTCTTCAAAAATAGTTATGTATTAGTATATTCCATAGTTTCATTAATAATATTAAAGGGATGAGAAAAAAACGTAAAAACGAAATCGAGTTTTTGTGATGTTAACATACCGACTCGTAACGATTTATTCGGGAACAATTTTAAATTAAAATAAATTTATTATAGCAAATAAAAAATGTTGAATAATTTTATTAAACAATTAAACGATTAAATAAATCGATAACGATTTCATTCTATTTTATAAAATGTTATTTTCTATTAAGTGTTTTAAAAAAGGAAGGTGTAATAATGTATAGTTGGTAGTAGGCCTCAAGGAATAAATAGTATTATTTTAAAAAATAAACAAAATTTATTAGCACTTGGTCACTAAACGTCGACCGTATTATCAACTTTGGACCACATAGTTTATCCCGTTAGAAATAATAATAAATGCGTTAGGTACCGGAGCAAGCATTTCTATCGATGGTTTACGGATTTTACGGTTATGGTATGGTCTCGAATAGTCTTGATTAAGTGTTTTATGTTTCTTATCGATCTCTATATACATAACACAACAAAAACACTTATAGTATATTTCTAACGTCATAATTTTATACATTGTAATTGATAAAATTTTGTTGCTTTTACTTAACTATAGATGGCGTTAGGTGATAGTGACCGATTATCTATACAGTGCGAAATCTTGAAACATTCAAAAATCAATTACGAAAAGTGGTTGTCGAGTTAGGTTAGTGCATACTGATTAAAATATATACATACATAACATTACGTAGGTAACTGGTAACTCAAAAGCTTAGCTACAGTTGCGCAAAGGGATATTTATACGCTTGGGTATTTAAACACGTCCCTTTACTCATTAAACTGATTAACTAATGAGACATTCCAAGTCCAAGTAACCATTTGGTTTTCAAATTAATTATATATTCTCAGTATGTAGTAGCGAGCTGAACCTACATTCAGTTAATTGAAATTCTTATAAAATCTGCAACTATAAAATAACATTTAGCGTAACATTTAAAAAATAAATTACACACACTTCTAATATTAGTAATCCAGGTAGATACTTGTTCACAATTTTATCAAGTTAGGTTTTACTTGATTTGTTTTCGTTTAAAAAAAGTGACAAGAGATTGAAAATCGAAAACCGTAATAAAAAACTGGTAAGTTGATTGATTACCTTGGGTAGGGTGTTCCATCTGGGCCTGGACAATCTGTTCCTTGTAGCGCATCACCCCACGCATACTTTAATCGTGGACCACAATCTGCAACCACGTAGCACGCTACGAGTGCCTGGAATGTGTATGAAAAGAAAAGTTAGAAAATAACTATAAAAAATACTAATTTAATTTATAATTCTTCAACTAATGTACCCCGCAACCCTTTTTTTTGTAAGGGGAAAATCTTCAAATTACTTCTCCCGCCCAGGGTGAGGCGAAAAGAAGTGTCTCACACTCTTACTGACTGAAAGCCCCCGGGCGTTCCTTCTCCTACTCTAGGCCAAGGCCACGGTGCCTCATTGCGCCTACCCCGCAACCCTGGCTATCCTGCAACCCTTAGCTGGCTCTTGTAGATATCCGGTTAGTGCAACATAAGATCATTATACTGGTAATAAATTGTTTAGTAAACACAACGACTGGGTGGCTGTCTGAATCCCATTTGATTCTTACGTTATTATATTTTTTAGCTCTTCACAAATTATTTCAAAATTGTCTGTGACATTGTCTACACAACCTGTAGTATCTTTGACTGTGTATGTCACTGTATAAATAAAATATGATTGGTCGCACGAATTCATCGTCGGCGCGTGAGTCGCCGTCAAGGTGGTATGTGTGTCGTGGCCGAATGACACAGATCCCTCTGCCACGGGCCATCTTTGACAAACAAAACCAGTCCTTTTTCTTGTCTAATTCCATTCGATAGCTATCACAGGAACTGCGCGCCACACACAGCTTATTGTGAATAAAAAGTTTCGGAGCAAACCAGAAACGCGACTAAGCAATTATCTGTCCAATACTTGTTTGTTGAAATAATAACAGGATTTTGCCCGTGGTATTAAAACACTGGCTCAGAAAAATCGTTACTTACAATGTAGGTATTTTCATTTTATTGTAAAGGAAGAATTGCGAATACTACAAAAAGTTACAATCGACCGATTAACAAATTGTGTAAGACTTTTGATTTTTAATAATTTTTGAGATTCGCTAAAATTCGAAATCGGTATTCATTTCCGGAGTTTCATTTCATTGGAAATGAAAGGGTAATGTAGTGATGTGAGGAGAATCGAAAAGTCCCTCAAGAAGAAAGTGTCAGTGTCAGATTTCTAGGTCATGTGTGAATAACATGTCATTGAACTCAGTTCGTATACGGGCTAGTGTCAGGTGTATATTGACTTATTAAATTTCCATTAAATTAGCATTCTTCAGTTTCAAATATCAAATCGGTAAAGTTGTGCGTTGTTATAACAATCTGCCTTTTTCAATATAAATACACAAACTTATTGATAAGTAAATCGAATCGATTTAATATGCCTAATACATAAGTTGCATCACGGTTTTTCTTTTCAAAATGTATTATTCAAACCACGTTGCACCCTTTGATGCAATATTAGGTCTCTTGGGATCGATTACTTATTATAATATCCACTGAAAGTCTCAGTGGACACAAGGAATAGATCAAAAGTGAAATTTAAATAAAGAAAAAGCAGCGAAAGTGTTCATCGGTCTCTTGAGTCTATTGTAATGGACAACACGTTCTTGAACGACATTTTTAAGCTCAATTTCCGAGTAGTAACGATCATGGTCATGGTATTATTGTTTACCCAAAGAAGTTTAAGTAAGAGAGATCTCGAAAGCTTGAAACACTTACCGTGCATGCTTTCAATAGTTTCTCTGTTTATTTTGGCACGTTATCAAATCTTAGTCATGCATTTTACTACTTTCTACTACAATGTCAGCTGCCTACATGTAAACGCCTATGTCATGTCACAGCAATATGTGACAAAATGCGGATGCAGGATTGCTATGCTAATTTGGAATATATTTCATAGAAAGTCTCTTCTTGATCCTGTATGAAGTTTAATCAAGAATCTCACCAAATATGTCTTGGGTAAATGAATCAACGGTAGTTTTTGAGAATTTTTGATAATAAAAAGTTTGCTGCATAGATTTGCGGAAAAGTTAATTATAAAATATCACCATCAAAATGGATAATAAAGAAAAATTACCATAGGTAGTTTACTGACGTAAAGCAGTTAGTATTTGAAGACATCAGTTTGCTTTGAAAGTCTTACAACTTCCTTTTGCAGATAGTCGTCAAGATATAGAACATAATGTCGATCAGTAACCTTCAACTAATGATACGTTAATGCGCCTAGACGGCGAATGGGTGCCGTGGGTAACAGTAAATAAAGATAAACTTCACCCACTGTTTTATGCTTTTTTTACCTATCTCCTGAGCGCTTGTTCGCTCTAAATGCATAGGCAATGAGTCAGTCAACCATGCACTGTATGACTTACGATAGGCAGCTTTATAATTTTATATTACTAATTTATGTTTTACTGATAATTGACAATAAAATATTGCAGTCGTTAAAATGTTAGCGGTTTATTGGAGCTTAATAATTAAAATACCAGCTCTAGTAAAACAAATCCAACATAATGTATTTTTTCCAAACTTTGTTGGACCCAATTATTTAAAAATATCATTTTTAAACACCTTTATTGCCAAAACTTTAACGGAAATCGTTTTATAGTAAAATACATATTTTATTATCTCCATCCAAAAAACGAGGGCAACAATAAGTCCACATCAGTGGTAAATGCTGATAAGAAATTATCAATAAGGAGATTTTAAATTCATCGGGTTAGAGGGCACTTTTTACTAAAATTTTATATAATATACCTATTGTATTTTTTTGTTATTCACAATAAAATAATTAAATATAAAATAAAATAAAACTTACCAAATTTATGTAAATAGATAAACTTTTTGAACACATTTTTATAAATTAAACTGTGATTAAAATCTATAAATAATAATAACAAAATTTGTGCGGCACACTTTTATACGCGAATTATTGTCCGAATGTGAAGATGATACATTCGCGTGAGTAGAAGGGCGTGCGGTCGACGCACTGCCCGCGCAGACAACAAGTGGTGTTCATTATAACGGGAGTTACGCCGGGAGTCCTCAGAGCGGGTACAGGCACCTACTTTGCCTTCCATAGCGGTAGCTCTCTCTATGGCCGTTTGACTTTAGCGCCATCTCTTTTACGCAGTACGACTTTATTTGCCGAATCATCTTTGCCGGTTTTACAAAACAACGTATGACAGTTCGTCTTGTGATACGGAACAACACTAACTCTAAACATGGCCGCATGGCCCCCTGACAGCGGCCGATTTGATAACTTTACCAGGGGCTTCAAACTTAGAATAAAAAACTGGGGACAGTAATGGATACAATGATACAAAATGACGAAGTCTGACGTAGCCCATGTTCAAAATGAGTTTTAATGTGTTTTTAAATTTGTCGGGTTACATCGTGACGTAGACGGATGATGTTAACAACATGAATAAGAGATGGCAGTTTGGTCTTCTTTTTCGCTGTAGATCCAATAGATGGCGTTAGAGAATGATAATGAAAATAATGCTGTGTATGCATGCACACACACAAAGAAGAATGTCTGCTGATAGCTCGCTTGCACCGGTTATTTTGCGATATTTTGTTTGTGATCTCCTTTTTGTGTTTCGTTCTGAATTTCTCGTCGAGTTGAGCTTACGTTCCTCCGAGTAATGCATAATTGTGAACAGAGAAGGTTTTTCTAATTGAGGCAGGATTCTTGTGAGTGAAGTTAACCTACTACAATGTCTTCGGGCAGATACTGCTGTGTCCCAGGGTGTAAAGAGAGAGGAGGTATGCCAGACCAGCTATTTATTTATTTAACACAAGCTTCTTCACTTCTTACAACAGCAACAAGTTTATGTGTAACGAACTCATAAACTTGTTGTCAATCCCAAACAATACAAATCAAATTAAATGTACTATGACATTTAATGAAATCAACAGCACAAGTAGACCTATATTTTAAAACCTATAGCAATATACTTATAAACTTAATTTATTTTTCTCAAGCCCCATTTTGACTTAAGACTAGCTACTAAATATAAAACATTTTAAAGTGCACCTAAAAAAATATTTGATTGAGAGGTGCTACTATAATTTGACAGAATTTCTAACAGATTCCTAACATTATGACCTTTGATTATTAATATTAATACATATTAATAATCAAAGATTATGACATTTTTATCCATCTGTTATTCAATTGGTTCCTTTAGGTTTTTTTTTGTGTTTATCTTTGTAATGCCATGTAAAAATCATTATATTAGTTTTAATTAAGTTAATACATTTGTACGCTGTTAGCCACAGCAAAACATGAAGGTTATTGTACTCCTTTTAACATCCTACATTACAACATATAAATATGTATCTTGTTCTGTATACTCGTGTTTTACAAATAAATTATCTTTACATAGTACATATTTTATAATAAAGTTGATATCTTGACAATGCAGCTGATGTTATGTGTGTGAATTTGATTATTTTTCAATGATAAAACTTTATTATTTATTTAAGGTATGCATCAAGTACTTCATGGGTTCCCGAATCCTGTAGTTGATAGAGAAGGCTTCAATACTTGGCTGTATGCAATTAACAGTCTTGAACTTGTTTGAAGAATGAACAAATATTGAACCATAGAGTGTGTCATGCTCACTTTGAGGATAAATATTTGTGCCGTAACAACAGAATCAGTAATATTGCCGTGCCAACATTGAAAATGCGCTGTAAGTATAACACTACATATTGCAAAATACTTTTGGATAAACACCCCAGGTTACACACCCCCAGTGCTACATTGTCATATGCAACATGTCAGAATTGTAAGCATTTTAAGACTGATATCATAAAAACTCTTATATGTATATAAAATTCTTGTGTCAGAATGTGACTAACTCCTCTGAAATAATTTTATCAAATTTTATATCCACATTCAGTAGATCTGAAAAATTGGCTAATATTTCCTACCCCTAAATGATAAGAGTGGTTCATCCATAACATTTTTAACAGAGTTAAACCACACAAGAACTTATATTACAAAACCCTAATATTACAATATTATTTTAAACATTCCAACATTCTTATTTTGCGTAAACAAAAGTGTCTCACAGGCTAGTGTTATGACAAAATTTATATTTAATGCCTTTGTAATTAATTGCTTTATTCAAATACCTATGTTTTATTTTTCAGCATTACTGTCTCGGACTTCGTTAATAAATACCACCAGACAGCCTTTGCAGCAAATTCAGAACCTACAATCAACATAATCAGGTAAATATAAATGACACCAATTCTTCCCATGGTTGCCGGGTTCTACACCTAGCAAATGCTAGTACAATGTCAATGTACTTTACACGTTTATCGAGGACATTGGTGACATTGTACAGCATAAAATTATGTATAGCTGCCTGTTGTTAATCGTAAGACATTAACGGTTGTTACATTTAGTCAGAAGCCAGAAAGTTGGTCATCATGCCATCATCGATTTATTTCACTTCATAGCATCTAAAACGTATAATTATGTAATTTTTTTACTAAATAATTTGAAGTGCTATATATATTTGCTTTTTTTTTCAGCACCGTTGACTCCTCCTTCAACGCGTGCGTTCGTGCAGCGGAATGTTGTTGAATTTAAAGATTTTAATTATGCAGATATTTAGTGTATGACGTCGTATAATTGTGTATGGTAAAAAAAAATTTGTGCACGCAACCATTGTGGAGAAATTCACCAAAAACTGATTCCGCTGGGCGAACGTTGTCCTGGCGGAACTTTTTTTAATCCATAGACTTTAGAAGAAAAGAGATGTATCCAAAAATTAGTGTGTATTTGTGTGTAATTGTGTATGTATGAATAAAACTAGTGCATGCATAAACTTCGGAGAAATTCAAGTTTCCGCTACGCGAACGTTTGGCCATTAGCTAGTTTTCATATAAAGCGCTTACATAGAGAGCTGTAGATTTTTACATACGTTGTTTTGAATTTGTGTATATTTGTTTAAAAAACAGATTTAGAAAAAAACGTAGGGTTTAAAAGATAAAAATATAAACGTAAAATACGCTTATTAGGTCTTAGCTCTTAAAGTATGCACTTTAGGGTCTAGATTTTCACGTTTATACAAACCTTGTAAGTGTCTGCAACATGTTGCCAAGTATCAATGATGTTCCGTTAGTAATTAAATAGTTATAGGACAAATTTACCATGAATAGATCACTGTTTACAAAGCAGTCAAATATCACGACTTTCTAAATGAATTGCATGGTAAAATGTATGCCAATAATTAGTGTATTCATTCAACTATTCACATGCAAAATTTCATGTCATTAAATTCAGTAATTAAAGAAACACAATTATAATACTGACGAAGTATCGAAAACCTACATAACCCGACCAAGTTCGGATGGCTACAAAAAAGCGGCTGTTCAATATATTTAGGTAACATCCCAAAATTTACAGTATAATACCGGTATTGAATTGGTACAGGTGATAACACACTTGTTGTTTCGAAATACTTTATAGGTCATTTATTTTTGGACACCTAATTTTTTAAATGTATTTGACTATGACAGAAAGTAGGTACTATTTACGTAGGTACTTTATTTAAGTATGCGCTTGAGATTTGAGATATAATCTAATTATATTTAAGACAAATAAAATTCATACAGCTAATTTCTATTGAAGATTTCACGGATCAGGATTCTAACTATAGACCCCTTAGGGAAATTAAATATTTACCACATGTAAGTACTTAAGTACTACTGTTTAGGTAAATATTTATCATATTGTAGCTTATTACACTATTTAACCAATATTTTTTATTACACTATTTAACCAATAGAGGCATGCACGAGCGTGTGTACGATACTGTGTTTAATTTTTTCCTAACGCTTGTGTACGATAATGTACCATATTAATAAATGCTATATTGGAAAGTTAAGAACGTTTCTTAGATATATGGCACGGCCGCTTTTTTGTAGCCATCCGAACTTGGTCGGGTTATGTAGGTTTTCGATGCTTCGTCAGTATTATAATTGTTTTTCTTTAATTACTGAATTTAATGACATGAAATTTTGCATGTGAATTGTTGAATGAATACACTAATTATTGGCATACATTTTACCATGCAATTCATTTAGAACGTCGTGATATTTGACTGCTTTGTAAACAGTGATCTATTCATGGTAAATTTGTCCTATAACTATTTAATTACTAACGGAACATCATTGATACTTGGCAACATGTTGCAGACACTTACAAGGTTTGTATAAACGTGAAAATCTAGACCCTAAAGTGCATACTTTAAGAGCTAAGACCTAATAAGCGTATTTTACGTTTATATTTTTATCTCTTAAACCCTACGATTTTTTCTAAATCTGTTTTTTAAACAAATATACACAAATTCAAAACAACGTATGTAAAAATCTACAGCTCTCTATGTAAGCGCTTTATATGAAAACTAGCTAATGGCCAAACGTTCGCGTAGCGGAAACTTGAATTTCTCCGAAGTTTATGCATGCACTAGTTTTATTTATACATACACAATTACACACAAATACACACTAATTTTTGGATACATCTCTTTTCTTCTAAAGTCTATGGATTAAAAAAAGTTCCGCCAGGACAACGTTCGCCCAGCGGAATCAGTTTTTGGTGAATTTCTCCACAATGGTTGCGTGCACAAAATTTTTTTTACCATACACAATTATACGACGTCATACACTAAATATCTGCATAATTAAAATCTTTAAATTCAACAACATTCCGCTGCACGAACGCACGCTCCTTCAACCACTAGCCTACAACAACTAAATCTGGGCCATGGACCATCACCCTCAAGTAATTATAATTTAATTAAATCCCTGAATGAGTCCACTTCATTCTCCAAACAATAGCTATACCAATGTTTATGATTTAAAGTATCTCATTTTAAAGGGCACAACTAGAAGCTAATTTACTTATTGTTGATGAGTAAATAAGTGCTTGTGCAGTAGACTGACTAAATATCGTGTGTATCCTATATGCATTACTTGAAACAATGCACAAAAAAGAAATTAATGAATCTCAGTCACCCAGGCACTTTCTCATGTAGTCCCCGTCCTTATTACGCTACAACATATTCATTCGGTACTATGTAGATATAACGTAGTAAGCACACTTTAAAGTGTGGTTAGACTAATAAGTTTGGGTTTGTCCAACAAATTATGGATTTTTTTGCAATTGTTGACTTCAAATTGTTTTTGTTCAAGTTTACATTTTATACTTATATATTTTTTTCCTTTATTTTAGTGGCGCCATATACAAAAGTTATAAATTCGTGCAATTATTCATTTCAGGTCTCACAGCTACAATGCAAGAAGCTGCTTTACCAAGTACTTCAGAAACGAATGTGCATCTTAATCTAGGTAAGTTGTGCAAATAAAATCTTGTGTATAACTAAAAAAAGTTTTGAATAAATAGATTAACTTTTTTTAATTTATATAATTACAGGAGAAAAAACAACGGTGAAGAAAGCTAAGAGTCGAGTATTCCTTACGAATACAGAAAAGTACCTGCAGGATAAACTTGTTGCTGCAAGTATTAAGTTAAGCAAAATGAAAAATAGATTTAAAAAACTGTCTGTCAATGTAAAAGCAGCGAAACAAATTGCATCCAACCCTGCAGTATGCGACATACTAGAAAATTGTCAAGAGGACCACAAAAAAGAAAAGGAGCGACGTTTTACGTTACAAGAAAAAATTGCATCCTTATCTATTTTTAAGCAAAGTCCCAAAGGATATAGATTTCTGAGATTTTTTTTATTTTGCCTGCTCAGCAAACACTAATTAAGTTAGTACAAATTTGTAACATCAAGCCTGGGATAAACAGTAATATTTTCTCTCAATTGAAAAATAAAGCTGACAACATGAAAATAGAACAAAGGTTATGTGTTGTTATGTTTGACGAAGTTTCTTTGAAGAGCAATGTTGCATATAACGAGAGAAAAGATAAAATCACAAGTCTTGTTGACAATGGGCAAAACAGGAAAACTGAATTTGCAGATCATGCTCAAGTCTTTATGTTACGTGGCTTAATTTATAATTATAAGCAGGCAATATCATATACATTCGCGTCGAGTGCTACTAAGGGACCTGAACGAGCTCAACAAATAAAGGACGTGATAAGAGGTTTGCAAGAATCAGGGTTCATAGTTGTTGCTACTGTATGTGACCAGGGTCCTAATAACAGACAGGCTCTGAAACTGTTAATTAATGAGAACAGGGGAATTTATTTGAGAAAAGGTGAAGAGCCTAAAGAAAATAAAATTTTAATAAATGGTCAAGAAATTGTACCACTTTATGACCTGATGATGATGACACTGATGACATCTCCTCAAAGGAATTAGAAATAACTTTATGTGCAAAGATTTAGAATTCACCAAAGATGGTGTAACAAAAATTGCAAAATGTTCGCATTTAAATTTACTTCTCAAAGAAAACCCTGGTTACAAAGGCATTAGGTTGATTCCAAAATTAATGGAATATCATATCAACCCTCTAAAAATTAATAAAATGAAGGTTAAATTTGCCTCACAAATATTCAATCGTACTATGGCGTCTAATATGGGATACTTGGCAGGTAATGTATGTTTTATTTATTTATTCAAACTTCATGCACAAGGCGGGTACATAGGCGGACTTAATGCCTAAGGCATTTTCTACCAGTCGAGCCTTGGGTGATGCAGAGCTGTGCCGGTGCAAGAAGCAAAGCAAACAGACTTTATTTTATATGAGTCAAAACGAGATAGATACATATATATGTGTGTGTGTGTGATAGATACATATATTTGTTTTATTGTATAACTAGAATATGCAACAAGCGAATGTACTATTCCGGAAAATCTAATATCTCACGAAAGTGTTATAATCAGTCACGTTTTGAAAAAATACTTGTTACGTGTTTGAAATCAATTGAAGTAGTTTGCAAAAATAAATATAATTCAGAACTTTAGGCGATTAAACTGTCATACAATTTTTTTTTCAGGTAAGAACATACTTCCCGCTGAGTGTAAGGACACCGCTGATTTACTGCTGTTCATGGACAATATCTTTGACTCCGTGAATGGCAGTCGACAGAAAAATAGAAATGCAAAACCCTTACTAGGGCCAGCAACGCCAAACTCGGCACATCACCAAATTTGGATTGAGGGAGTACAAATTTTTAAATCGATGAAATTTGTATCGAATGGTAAAAAACAATCGGTTCCCTCCATTACCAATTGGGTGTGGACACTGAGTAGAATAAATAAACTACAAAATGAGTTTAACGTGTCGTCAGTGTGGTTGCGGCATCTTAATCAGGACCCCTTGGAAAATTTCTTTGGGGCGGTAAGAAGCCAAGGGTGCCGCAATACTAATCCCACCTGCGACCAACTCGAATCGGCTTTCACCACATTATTAATAAATAATATAAGCAGTGTCCACACCCGCGGAAACTGCGAAAAAGACTTTTGCGATGCATTGTATTCTCTCACCATCAACGAAAATGCAGAAACAACGTCAACCTGCTCATCGTTTGATTTTTCAAACATTATTGAATTTAATTTTACGCCTATAGAAATTAAAGAAAGGGATCCCCGTATTGTTGGACCTCTCCAATATATAAGTGGATATTTTTTGAAGAAAATTAAATCTAAAATATTTAAAACTTGTACAGATTGTTGTAACCTATTAATGGAAAAAAATGAAATTGAGTATATAAAATATAGGGAATACGCAGGTCGACGATGGCTTTGCACTCCCAGCAAGAAGTTAATAGAGCTGATTTCCAATATGCAAGATTTAATCAAACAAAAGAAAATATAGAAAAATTATATTTAAAGCTAATCATTAATACAGCTGTTAGTAGTTTTGTTTGATTTTACATTTATAAAATGTATAATAGAGAAAAAATAATCGATTTTTTAATTAATATTGTTATTAGATTTATAATTTTTAATTACTGTAAAAATATCAATATAATATTAGCTGGGAGAAAAGATGTTGATGATGATGAGAACAAATTGCAAGTTAAAGCTAAAAAGTTAAGCGAGTACTATAGAAAAAACAAATAAACTAGATTTTCATCAAATATGTTGTTTCATTTATACCTCTTTTTGTTGTAGCAGTAGATAGTGTAATTCACTATAAGAATTGTAAAATATTTAAAGTGAATTACACTGTCTACTACTCGTTTCAGTCACGTAGTTGAGCAGTAACGAAAAACAACCAACAATCTATAGATGCACATCCATAGTATAGATATGGTTATATATATAATAAAAATGTTGTCTAACATGGATTACAGATGGCGCTGTTAGTAGTTACCCAATTTGACATCGAAGATTGGTCTCTATTTCCTATTGTTAAAATGTACTCTGTGAACTTTACGCAAAATAGTTTTATGAACTTTACTTCTGGACAGTTTACAGACAATATAAATTCCGGCTTAAAATATCATGACTTGGACAGTAAGTTTAATAGTTTTCAAGTGCATAATTACGACAAAAAAGCTTCTGGAAGCACAGTGACGTCGGAAAGTGAAATAAATTCCAAGGACAACAGTGCAGAAAATACAATAGAATTCCTATCGTAAGTTCAATTTTATTTTTATACTTAAATATCTTTCCTTTAATTGAAATGCGTTATTATCCTTTATTGCGTATTTAGCCGCTTTTTACTTCTCGCCTTCAATTTGATCCAATCAGCTGTTTGTCAATAGTGTTCCATCTCTCTCGCACTTACGGGATTGTATATAAGTGGTCTTTTAGACGATGTATCGTTTTTGGGCATTCTATTTTGGTACATTACTTACCATCACGATGTGATGCGAATATCCTAATTTTGTGTTCTCCAATGAGTACACAATTGAAAGGCGAGTGAGAGGTATGTTATTAAATGATAGTTCTTTACATAGTGCAGACCATGATACCAGCATAACACCATACCAGTGTAGTATCTTTAAACCACTTCACTAACCTATGTTATTCCAGAACTAATTTTGTTCAGTATAATTCCCAGTCATCTTAGGATTTCATGTTGTTACTAAGGAGATAACTTTTCTTATTGTTTGAGTTAATGTTTACTTTTGTTATTGCCACTTAGATGCCAATTACCAAGTCCATATCAATATGAAGATATTTGATACCCTCTGGAGATAACAATGAAATATAAACTCCTTTTTCAGCCATGATGACTCAGTATCGGACTTGCAAAACTCGAATGTTGACATCGCTTCTAACATGGACAAGAGCAAGAGGAAGCCGGAGGACAGCAGTGCGAGGTACAAATGTGAATATGAGGGTTGTGAACGCACATACAGCACTGTTGGAAACCTGCGCACACACATGAAAACACACAAGGGTGAGATCATTCAGACTCAAATGTAGTTTGCACACAATGCTTCTTAGTTTATCTACCACTTATACCATACCATATCAAGCTTTTTCTGTCTTCACTATTATACTATTCAGATAAAAACTCTTTGCTGATTTTGACTTCTTGAACCATGAATATGATCCATTTATGTGATTCTATAAAACCTTTATTAGTCATATGAAATGGTTATATCCATGCAAATCAACCACAAAATGACAACATGCATATTTTTAAACATAGCAACACAACAAACAAATGGTTACATAACAATGACTTATCAAAAACTTCCCATGAACTTAATTAAAATTTAAAAATGATAAACTTACACTCGATGATAAAGAATTAATGACCTTATTGTAATAATGTTAGAATTGAGATCAAAATAAGTGTTATAGTTTTATAAGATCTATTATGAAAAGTGAGAACTTGTTAGAGGTTGACTGATTTGTCTTGTACATTAATTTACATTTTATGCCTGGTACTATATAAATTTGCATATGCTAATATACAAACATTTGTTATGTAAGTAAAGCTGTGGCTATGACAAAGACAATAATTGAAGGTTTGAAGGCTTTTGTTGATACTTGAAATCACCAACATGCATTGAGCAAGTGTGGTGATTAATGTTCAAACCTTCTCTGTGTGAGAAGAAGCCTTTAGTCGGCAGTGGGCACTTATAGGCTGATGATGATGATGACGATCAATTTATTTTCTTTATTAAAAGTATCTTCTTTCAACTCTTATGTATGTAAACAGGAAAATATACTTAGTAAGTTTTTTTATGAGTAGTAATAGCTTAGATTTTGAGTATTTAGGTACCTATGAGATTTTTTATAGTAGGTATTTGATAGTTGCCATTTTTGGACTTGTTGCCGATCTTAATCAACATTAAAGAGCCAACTAATACTAATGTATTCAAATGTTATGTTTGATTATGTAATTCCTTTGTTTCTAATTATACCTAATCATAATTCAGAGGTCATAAACCTTTTAATTTCTTGGTCAAATATTTATGCTCTTTTTTATTATTTATGCACAACACACATACAGTAAATAGCGGAGGCAAAGAAATACAGAAATAGAGGTATGTAGGTTGGATCACCATCATACCCTAGATGGTCTTCAGACACTCTTGCGCATTTGCGGTAATTGTCAGAAATCAGAACTATTGCAATTATAAACTTAACTTATTTCCTTGTTGTAATTTTTGTTGTTTATAACATTTTTCCTCTAAACATACGTCATTTTTCAAAAGTATTGGTTAATGTTAGGTATTTCCTGCCAGTAAATAATGATAAAGTGACCTATTTATCGGGTTTGTTATTTCTTAATACCATTTTTGGGTATTAGGATAATTATACTAGTATGGTAATCTTAGTTTTTGTAATATTTGGCTTTACTTAAGGTTAAATAAAGGCCTACATACCGTTGCCTAACCATATCTAACATAAAAATGCTAGCAGTTGTCTTATTTTTGTGCTCAATAAAACTTGTCATGATAGCTTTTGTATTTGATTTACTTATTTTGAAAATGCAACATTGTTTAATTTATTCCTACAGTATTTAAGCAGCTTGCTTTCCATATTTTATCTTTGATAGATATGGAAATTGTTTTAAAAACACAATTTATATTCTTTAAGCGAGTGAAATACATAAATTAATTAAATTGTATATATTTTTATGTTTTCTCCAATCGCTGAACCATAGGTGTCGGTCATTTTGGAAGTGTACCATTAGCTGAAGCGCAGAGTCCCTTTACACAGTTCAATTAAATAAGTTATTAACCGGTGACCATCCTTGTATGCACTATAAAACAGCCCATGGTTATTGTAGATTTATTTTGATAATAGGAACAAAAGAGATAAGACTATAGGTGTGAGTTGCTATGGTATAATGGGCTGATAATGCTGATATAGAAGAACTATGGCGCCTGCCGAAAAAATGAAATAATTACCTACAGGTAAAAATGGCAGTTGGAGATTTGCCAAATCGTCGACCGGGCCATATATTTATTAAGTATTCTTTTAAATTTTCAAACGATGACATGACTAAGAAAATATAATTTCGTATTATAATCGTTTTCACAAAACGTTTCGTCTGCGGTTGTAGGTTTATTCACTCAAGGAATATGAATGAAATAAACTTTTTATACCTATAAGGTTCTTCCAACATGCATACCTACACATTCATGTAAATACAAATGAGTTTTAAGTTTTTATTGTACCATACCTACTGTTGTAAAAACCCCATTCTCAGCGTCGTAAAATACAGTCGAGTAGGTACACCTACCAATAGTACTTACATTTTTATCATTGATCGTGTTATTCCTACGTCAATAACAATTAAGTATGTCCAAATATGGATATGGACTTATCCAGTTTCTTGTAGCATAGTCTCTCAAACATTTATTTTCTGTCTACGAAGTACATGTAGACAGGGTCGGATTGGGCAAGCACCCGGGTGGCATAGACCCTAGGGGCCCCGATTTCTAAATAGAAAGTGAAGAAGTCTCGTAATACTTTTCTCAGTTACTTTGTCCGATAACTTGGGCCCCGTGAATGTTGGGGCCCAACTGACCCGGCCCTGATTACTGGCCAGTCAGAACCTGTTATTATTTTAATAACATAATTTGTAACACTGGTGCAGTACTGACTAATTCTGGTTTTGTTTGATAACACAGATAACTTGGTCATGTATTGCCCTCAAACCAGATTAACACCGGTACTTGTTTTCCTAGTCAGTTTACTCAAATAATGGTATATCTACCTATTGTTTTTACTTAGATTTCTTTTTTTTTTTGTTGATTTGAAAACGATCGTGTGACATTAGTTGCCCAATCTTGGTTGACCTGTGCGTGATTTTATGCTTCGTTAATGATGAATAAACTTGTGTATTTCATACAAACAACTTTGAATTTTTCCTTTTTTGGTCATTGTGAACTACCTACTGTACGAAATTTTGCACCCGCAATTTGATCTAATTTTCATTAAGTACGGCACTACTATTAAATGTAGGTATTTAAGATTTGCATGACTAATTCTTTAATTTAGGCATAGCCGGTGTTTAATAGTTATTATTTTTAGTATCAAATAAATTGAAAGCAATTTATAGGTACCATTGAAAAATCTAATATTATAAAGCGTCCATGAGTGTTGCCATTTTGCTAATTTCATATTTATTAACTATTTATAGTTAATACAGATTTTAACTAACATTTTGCATTGTAGTATAATTCGTTTATTTTTTAATTTATGAGTATTTCTATTAATGATGTATTTGAATAGAATATGATCAGTGAACAATGAACTATGATAATTATCGAAAGATTAGCCACTCCGGTCCAGGGCCTTCAAACATTATCATCTCCTTGCTGTATAAAAAAATCATTAAATATATCAAATTCTTTAAAATTTTCTCTTGTAATTTCAAACGATTTCTATTGCATTTAATAAATATTTTCATATTATATAATAATAATTAGGCCTCCGGTAACCGCACTTACACGGCGAAATCCAACGCTGTGGTTGCTTCACGCCCGTTTTCTCGGAGACCGTGGTATCACTGCGGTCGAGCCGATCCATCCGTGCCGATGTGTGCCACACTTTAAGGCTTATCCTGTGTTAATAAGACAAATAACAAAACTCCATTAAAATGGATGTATGTTGAGAAATCTTGGCTCCACTCCTGCAACAATACTTATGATATACATTGCTTTAAATTCAGTTACCAGTGGAACCATGGTTACCCACACACTGACCACAAACGTGACATACTGATACAAAAAATACACTTACTACCACAATGTAAACCCATTACGTGGCTATTTGGTGGACATGACCTCGTCCAATGATTTGTTTTATAACTTGCCATTAATGGTCAGAATGGTAATAGACACTTATAAACAAGTAAAGTAATGTACTGGGTCGCTGTTGTGCTCCGCTGAAATCTCCTAAAACCTGATTGTTTCGATTTTTTTTAATGTAATAGGTCGGCAAATCAGCGGACGGATTACCTGATGGTAAGCAATCAGCGCCGCCCATGGACACTCGCAACGGAGGAGTTACGAGTGCGTTGCCGACCATTTAGGGATTAGGGATTTGGAGATTTAGGCATTGAGGAGGGATTGGGGGAGGGGAAGAATTGGGCCTCCGGTAACCTCACTCACACGGCGAAACACAATGCTGTGGTTATTTCACGCCGGTTTTCTGTGAGGCCGTGGTATCACTCCGGTCGAGCCGAAGCATGGCTCTCTCACACATATCGACTCGATTATTTCAAGACTGATAAGCTTAAAAAGTTAATATTAGAAACAGCACGATGAATTGGCCATTTCAAAAATAATCAGTGTAACCACGTGGCTGTAGCATTCTTATCTAAAAAGTACGTGGCTTTTTGGATATTTCCGTCTAGATGACCTAATATGGCTGTCAATCAATCAAGTTATATTTTTTTAGGGGCGTAAAACCAGCCTACATAAGCAAACTGCATTAACTTCTTAGTTGTACTTAATCTTGTACGCATGAATTTTTTATTACTTGTGGGTTAGAATTATAAACCTAAAGTCCCACAAAGATCTTATATTTGATCCTCTACTGCTTCTATTTGATTCTTTATTGACAACAATGACTTCATTAGTGTGGAAGGTCACCTAAGTATAGGAGAGCCATGCTTCGGAACGAATGGGCCGGCTCAACTAAAGTGATACCACGGCCAGAAAACCGATGTGAAACAACCTCAGAGTTGTGTTTCGCCGTGTAAGTGAGGTTCATCATCAGCCTATAAGTGCCCACTGCTGAGCAAAGGCCTCTTCTCATACGGAGAAGTGAGGTTACAGAGGCCCAATCTCACCCAAACCCAGTCTCCGAAATCGTAATCCACAAGCCGACAATGCACTCGTTACTCCTCTAGATTTGTGTATGAGCGGCGCTGATTACTCCCCATCAGAATTACCTGATCGGACAATCAGACGGATTACCGTTTGCTTGTTTGCTGACCTATCACATAAAATGAAGCTAAAAATTAACGAAAGAAAGAACTAATTTTGAACTGCAAAGAAATCATGGTGGTAAAAATCATAATACGTCATCAGCCTCAGCTAGTTATTGGTCATTATTTTGATGAATCTAATTTAAATGCTCCTATAACGGTTGTGCGTAATGCAACTAGACTGATTTGGCGAAATCTGTATTTGGGTTAATCTGTCACCCACGCTTCGTGCTCTGAGATAAACTTTCTCAAACTATACAATCATACCTACGCGAAATTTCTGCCAAAGAACCTCTGCATATCAACCATTTTGTTTCCTTAGTGTCTCAAATCTCTTAGGTACTACAAAAATATTTTTTTCGCACACCAACAAATTACGTCATAAAATACAACTCCTTGCATGTCAATAACATCATTATATCTTGTAAATAATCACGCTAATGCTTAACCACGGGGAACATGAAACATGATCCTAGGAAGAGATTTTGCATTGAAATACGATTCGCATAGAAAGTAGACAGCTTACTTTCTTCGGTGTCGTCATATTACAATATGTTGCGTTATAACTTAGGTTATATTATATTACATCGATGACATCTTGAACTGAACTTATCTACTACTGAGATACTGAGTTTATCTTCACAAAGGACATTAGTCATATCGTGCTAAAACGCCTACCTATTGTATACGTGTGTAAAAATATTCTTATCTGATAAAATCTGAGGTAATTTGTTACCTAATGTTTTTATGGAGAATGGAGTTACATGAAGAGTGTCTTTACTTTGATTAATTGACCATGATTTTTAATTTTCCAATATTTCCATCAATTTTCTTGCCAATAAACCCAAAAAATCTATTTTTTATCTTTTAGTATAAGTTATAATATACACTCGCGAGCAAAAGTATGGAATCACTTACTTGGAATTGAATCCTCGCGATCTTAAGTACTTAATAACTAGTTAAGAATAATAAAAATGGTACCATTTAAAAGGTTAAACTGTTAACTTTAAATTGATACCAAATTCATTTAAATCACGCCATAATTTCAGAAGTTATACGGGATTACGTGAAGAAGTAAGGAAAAAGATATGTTTTAATTGTTTGATACGTCACGAGTTGCGCCCTATTGACCCCCTATAAAAGCACGTGTTATCGGATTTTCTTTATCAGTCGGCTTTCACACGTTGACCAGTACACATCTCCGCTACTTTAGACCCTTGAACTTGGACGACAATGGATACTACACCTACAGAAGCAGCACAAATCGTCGCCCTATTGCAAGAAGGGCTCAGCCAGCGGGCTGTCGCACGTCAGCTCCACATAAGCCAGTCCTGTGTTTCGAAAGTTTATAAACGGTTTCGGGAGACTGGTGGCTTTATCCCGAGACCAAGATCTGGACGGCGCCGGTGCACATCGGAGAGAGATGACCGTTTCATCGTGTCAACCTCTCTCAGAAATCGACATTTGACTGGTGTCGATGTCCAACAGGAGCTCCGAAATGTTCGTGGGGTAGCTGCCAGTGAGTGGACAGTTCGTCGAAGACTTAAGCAAGCTAATTTGACTACAAAAAGGCCTGCCACAGGCCCGAAACTGACGGCAGGTCACCGACAAGCACGCCTTCAATTTGCTCGCTCCCATCTTGATTGGGAGGTTGAGCAATGGAGGCGAGTTCTGTTCTCCGACGAGTGCAGAATGTGTTTGCACGGCAGCGACCGAAGGGGTCGGGTCTACAGGCGGCCTGGGGAGCGATTTGCGCAGTGCTGTTTCGCTGAGACAGTGGCTTATGGGGGTGGTTCTTGTATGATGTGGGCCGGCATTTCCTTCGACGGTAAAACTGAGCTTGTTTTCGTGCCTGGCGGGGGACGAGGAGGCGGTCTAACTTCAGACCGCTATATTTCCGATATTCTGCTGGAACATGTCGTTCCTTATGCGGGATATATCAGCGATGACTTCATCCATAAGCACGATAACGCTCGTTGTCACACGTCCCGTGTCACAACTGAATATCTCGAAGAAGTCGGTATCGCCACAATGAACTGGCCAGCACTCAGCCCGGACTTAAATCCCATTGAGCACGTATGGGATGAACTGAAGAGGAGGGTTCGTTCCAGAAATCCTGCTCCTTCAAGTGTGAATGAGCTGAAATCGGCTTTGATAGAGGAGTGGGAAGGTATCCCGCAAGAATCGATACAGAAGCTGATTAGGTCAATGAAGAACCGCCTTCAAGCAGTTATTAGGGCGAGGGGAGGGAACACAAAATATTAAATCTTAATTTTAAGGCCAAATAAAATTTTTATTAATTAATTTTTGTTGTTTTCTTCATTCATTATTTTTTCCATTATCCTTATGTTTTCCTAACTCCTTCACTCAATCCGGGATAGCTCCTAAATACTGGTGTGATTTAAATGAATTTGGTATCAATTTAAAGTTAACAGTTTAACCTTTTAAATGGTACCATTTTTATTATTCTCAACTAGTTATTAAGAACTTAAGATCGCGAGGATTCAATTCCAAGTAAGTGATTCCATACTTTTGCTCGCGAGTGTAGTATCTTCGTTTCCTTTCACGGGATCACAGAGCCGAAGCCAACACGCAGAGGCCCGTTGAACAATTTTAATCTAAATGTGATGGGACATCAGCCGGCAATTATCCCTGTATGCACTATAAAAGTGCACCCAAGGACAATCCCCGGTTGATGCAAGGCTATTGTGAAATGTGGTAAAAATTGGTAGGGTTATAGGTATGGGTTGCTATGGACTGGTGGATATGATAACTTTGGAAATACTATGGCTCCTGCCCCTGACCAATATTGATACATACGGATAAACAGGCAGGGGGTGACTGGCAAACTCAATTAATGGGCCCCCGGAAACGGCCGCTAGCATGTAGCAACACGGGGGCAACATACGTTGAGCTGCTTGGGGAAGGAGAGGCATCCCACGGTTATCAAAGCAATCCCGGAAGTACGGTCAAGACCCCTACCAGCACTAACTCATCATCAACTCCTACTCTTGCGAATCTCCACTCAAGCCAGCCAATTAAGGCAAGAATGAGGTAGGAGGGCTTGTTCTTCATCAGTTTTCACTCCAGCTCGTCACGAGGACTAACCGGAGATGAAGAACAAGACACCTCCCGGGAGTCAGGTCCGTGGGGTCGCCACTGCCCAACAGCTCGCCACAAGCTGCCTTGCGGATTAGTCTCTTTATTATTAGTGTGATGACCAAGCGTTGTTTTGATTAATGAGACATCCTACTGCGTTCAGAATAAGTCATTTCACACACAAAATATTTTTTACTCCATTCTAATGGCTTTTTTGTAACTCTCTTAATAAAACTGACGTCACCTTTTTATTCCGTCCACTTTTTGTGAGACATCGAAGCTATAACAAAAATATTCATCATTGGAAATACCAATATGAGAATTTCTTTCCTATAATATCTGTTTCTCGTTTTCGTTTCAGGTGAATACAGATTCAAATGTCCGATGCAATCATGTGAGAAAGCATTTCTAACGTCATATAGTCTGAAGATACACATTCGCGCGCACACGAAGGCAAAACCGTTCGCTTGCACCATTGGGTCCTGCAGAAAAGCCTTCAATACGCTATACAGGTATGTTATTTTTGAATGTATCCGTAATTGCTCTATTTTTCTGATAACAATAAGGTCGATTTAAAGGGCTTATAATATAATTGGCGTACTGGAGTCTAAGTAAGAATTTTTGTGTTTTTTGACAAAAATAAAACAAATCTTTTGATTGAAAATATAACCGAGATTAGAAAAAAAAATACTTGGTTACCGCAAGGGGTCTTATTAGGGATAGCGAAATAAATAATGTAAATTATTCATATGAAATCTTAACTCTTTGAAAGTAGCTACACGCCTGTTTTAAATTATGCCACTGATTATGCTACGATATTTTTACTTGTATCATAATTTGACTTTGTTCATTCTTCCTTGTCACGTAGCGTGATATCAAGGAATGGTAGATACAGTTGAGGAACTCTTTGAATGCTTTTTGCATGTGCTAATGACTAAGCTTTCAGTTAGCCAATTAAGTCAGTAAATAAAATACCTATATACTTGTACCTTAGATACTTGTAAACATGACATCATGCATGTTTATAGCTATTTTCTTGAGGTAAATGGAGGCGTGTAACGATATTGGTGGAACGTTTTACCTCTTAAATCCATGGATCTTTTTGTGACAAAATATTCCAACTGATTCTTTAATGTAAGAGTTTGTACGCTTGTTTAAACAAAAAAAAAACGGTTATGTTTCCCTTTATTCATATTTTATACTAGGTAGGTACTTCGTATAACCCCATGAAGGATTTATTTACTTTGTACAGTCGGAATTGTGGTATAGCCAGCCTATTTTTATCTCTACTATTAGAATTATGTAACTCTTCTTTTTTCAAACATTTGTAAATTTCTCCTCTCTTAATAGTACTTTCGTATATAAATTGACATGGCAACTAGTAAATGTACGTTATGTGTTACTAAAAAAGGAGACTTGTTAGATAATATTATAAAACGAAACAAGAGAATAGCTGATACAAAACAAATAGGTAACGCTCTTCCGTATAACAATACGATTAGATAAATAAAATATCTAAAACGATTCGTTTGAATGAAAAAAATAATAAGATAAAGAAGTGGAATTCGAGTCGTGGTCTTAACTACGCAAATATAAATATGTTTGTGATAACAAAAACAAAATCTATACAAGGTCCCATGAATAGACGCGTAATACACACATTATTAAGTGTGTGCTGTCAGTAAATAAGACAGTAATTGAGTTCAAAAGCACTCAAACCTAATTTAGCTTATTTCTACATCAGACCATTCTTAAATTTTTTGCTACGGCAACTAGAAGTGATAATGAATATGGAATTCTTAAAAGACCCGCAGTTTTTTTAGCTCTTATGGATTTGTTGCTAACCGCAAAAATAATGGTTACTTTTCTAGAAAGAAATCCAAACTAATATTATAATTACGAAAGTAACTCTGTCTGTCTGTCTATCTGTCTTTTCTTCACGCCTAAACTACTGAACCGATGTCTCTGAAATTTGGTACAGACATAGTTTGGAACTTGAGAAAAGACACAGGATAGTTTTTGTACCAAAATCTGCAGGAAGTCGCTAATCCACGCAAACGGAGTCAAGGGCAAAAGCTGGTATAATATATTTAACGAATAGATGCTTAATGGTTACAGATCCATAGTTCTTATGTGTTAATAAAACCTTTTAGTAAGACACTTACACCCGGTTTCTGAAAGGCTTGTCAACGCTAAAATTAACTATCTCCTGTTAAATCACTTGTCAAGTCATCTGATTGGTTGTTGATAATTCAGTCAACCAATCAGATGACTTGACAAGAGATTAAATTGATTTTAACATAGATCGCCTTTTCGGAAACCGAGGGTTAAACAACTATATTTAATTATTCAATTTCACACGAAGGTTGGTTTGTTTATGGGGCCCCCGCTTTAACGTGGGGCCCATTCGTTGTAGCTACGTAGTTAATCCGGCACTGCTCATAGCAACTAATATAGGTATTTATTTATTTGCTCTAAACACACATCTTAAAAGTATAGCTTACAGAAAAAACTGTATAACAATTTGACATGCTTACACATTTGAATTTTTAAAATGCTTACGCAGAACTTCATTAATTATGGGTAAACCATTAAGTACCTACTCCATAAATTTCAGTGATAATTATTATTTTTGAAACTTCATAATAGAAGAATAGTGCGACAGTCAGTTAGTTCGTCATTGAAGTTAGATGTTCAATGATTCCAGTGTTTTCACTATATAACTCTCATTGGCACGTAATAGCGTCCCCAGAGAGTTCCATTTCGTATGCACGTACCAGGAACCGCATAGGCATCACTGTGAGAATATAATGTGGCCTTCGGTATGCATTTGAAGAATACATATATTGATATGTTTACAAAACAATCAAGAATTGAACATAGCAAGTCGATCGGATTTTTTGGACGAATGTAAAATTCAAACATAACATGTTGAGTCAGACAGCGCTAGTAATTTATGTATTTGGATGTTTGCCAATTGATTTAGGAGTACAGCAACAACAGTTCTGGTGTGTTGTTAATAAACATGTGTTTGTCCATAAAATATGTTATGATATGAACATCTTGCGTGCCTAATGAGCGAGAGTTGTAAAACAAAAAATCCACAGGATAAATCCTGACATAAATAGCTCGTGGTTCACGGTCGCTTCTATTTGTTGAATGCAGACATTCAGATTAAATTTTGATCGGATTTGAACCAAATAATCTATTTTTATAAGCAATCTCTCAATCTCTTTTTCAGCTTGTCGACTGTAGAAGCCAAAACTAACTGAGTGCGAATTTAAAGATCTTATCCCAGTTTCTCTTCATAGTTTTCCTAGATCTAGTAACCTATACCTACTTATATTAAAAAGCTGAAGATTTGGTTTGTTTTTACGCGATAATCTCCGGAACTTCTGTTTCAAATGCAATAATTCTTTTTGTGTAAGATAGTCCGTTTATCGAGGAAGGCTGTAAAACATGAAGCTTTGTCCAATAAGACCCGACCAGCGGATGAAACCACGCGTGAATAGCTTGTTGTAAAATATAACGTGAAACACATAAAATACAAGTAATCTTATTGCTATCAAAAATATTGAGTCTAATCGTACCATCTACGGAAACTGATAAGAATTGAAAAATAACGAATGTAAACAACATAATATATATAATCTGTTGCAAATATTATTAAAGAGTATAAAATAAAAACAACCCTAATTTGTATTTATTAAGATAAAGTTTTGCACTCAAACAAAGAATAATCTAAAATAGTTGACCCCCAACTGCGTTAGATAGCGTGCGTACTTACATTATGCTCCACTAGTGCGGGGGTCAATCGAGTTATTGTTTATTGGAGTCCAATATTTTTATAAACAAACTTTTAATAGGTATGTAGGCGCAAAAAAGATTAAAAATAAAACGCCTACCTACTGTCTAGTTAGTTTTGTCTTCATTGGCGGTTTGTCTGCTAATGAGAAAAAAGTTACTTAGGTACATTTTTTTTTCGTATTTTTTACGCTACCTACAAAGTTTTCTTGCCAAATCAATGATGTATAAAACTATAGATACGTTGTCCGCGCTCTAAAATGACAACATGAAATGAAGGCAATTGACCACATCGCGCTTAGTTACGCACCAACCTGCCGCGCGACGCTACGTTTGTTTTTAATTTATATCGTGTGTGTAAACCTGTGCGAAACATAAAGAAAGCATGCCGTCGTGTGTGTTCAGACGATGTACAAATTATACTCCAAAAGTTAAAGACAAAAATGTGTCATTTCATGCGTAAGTTCACCAAATAACCTATTTTTATTATATTTTTTTCGACGCCGGCGCCCGCCATCTTATGGCGGCCGGCGCATGAAGGTATAGTCACGTGCCGTCGGCATAACTGAAGATGTATATTTATCTCCCTCTAGCAAAGGCTTTCCACACGATGTCATATTTTCTTTCCCTTTCTTTACTCGTAGAAGTAGTTATCTAGTATTTTCGCCGTTTTTAAGCACCGCGATGTTGGTTGATGACGTGTCTATATATAATACGTCATTGTGCCAAATATTCACTTTTTGGCTTTTACATCTTTAGGCAATTGCTTTCATGTTCATAAAATCTCTACACGTTTCTATATTGTATAATCACATCTTAACGATTGCGGGACATTTTGTCTTTTAAAATATAAAAACGAGATGTAAATTGTACGATACCCGGCCTTCGTAATCGCGAGTCTGCGGTAGGCGAGCAAGGGTAGCTTGACGCTACCAGAACCAGACCCGAGTGCGCGGCGTGTAGTGTTCCGCGCGCGTCTCAAACATCCAAAACACCACTACAGAGACAAAGATGGGCCCGAATAAAGCGTAAAAAGGTACCGTGGTCTCGGCCTGAAGCAGGACAAGGAACGGTGGGGTATTTAGTCAGTAAGAGTCTGACGCTCGCACTCGCCATACCTTGGACGAGCGAAGTCATTTGATGGTTTATACTACTCAAAAAGAAATGAAAATTGTGGTCTCTCACACAGAGAAGAAGAAGAAGAGAAGTTGTTAGAAGTTGTCTAATTTATACCTAGCTAATAATGAACGGGGGTATTCATAGATATTACGGCCGAACTTGTTTTAAAAAACATAGACTAATACAAAAAGAAACCTTTATCAAACCATCTCTTGATATAACTGCCTTTAAGACATCACCTTTTGCTCTAATCTCGGAATTTACCGCTTCGCGCGTTTTAACGAAAAGTGATAACGGTGATAACAATATTATTATTGTCGTATTCGCTAGACACTCAAATAAACATGTTATGTTAGAATATCGTACTATAGTGGCCATCGGTAGTAGCAGAATAAATTAACTCACTCATCAACGGCTAACTCAAGAACGGCTGAACCGATATCGTTGAGAATTGGTGGTGATGTAGTTTAGAACCAAAAGAATATATGATAGGATACGCTAGGGACTAGATTAGGTAGGGTAGAGAACGTAGTCATAAGACGGGAGCGAAGCCGCGGGTAAAAGGTAGTTATTAACATAAATAAGTGGATCAACCTTTTTTGTGTGTCTTCTTAATTTTAGATCACCCCAGCCATCCTACTATCTCGGACCATTTTTTATCGCTATCGTAAACAAAAATACAACCTTTACATAACTCGAGATATATTATGTCTACACATCTAAAAAAAAAACACGTCTGTAAGGCTTCATCGGTTGTGTCTCAGTGTTATTCTATTGTAATCTTTGTTTTGTAGGTGCCAGCCTTATCTATAACCATTTAGCATTTTTATACGCATTCTAATAGTCTTGTGTCTTGTTCTCTTCGTGGTTGGTTAAGCGCAATGTGTCACCGCGTCCTCGGCCAAGAGCAGGAGAAGGAACGGGGGTTTTTGGTCAGTAAGAGTCTGACACTCTCTCGCGTTACCCTGGGCGGGAGAAGCCATTTGATGATTTTCCCCTGACAAAAAAACTCCTTTTACGGAGATGTGGTGTGTCGTGCGATCCGTAATACGTTGTTCATATGTTTGTTTGTGTTTACGTGTGCGGTTATGCGGTTTACTACTGCAATGTACTCCAAACGAGCGTACTCCTTCTTAAAAGGCCGGCAACGCGCCTGTGACTACTCTGGCCGGACTACCATGGCCGGCGTAGATCACTAACAAACTACGTATCAAAGGTTGCTTGAAACTCCAAAAAAAAATGTATGAAGTTTTTTTTTATTTGCAGAACGGCAAACGAGTAGACGGATTACCTGATGGTAAGCAATCGCCAATGGACATCCGCAACAAAGAAGGAGTTACGAGTGCGTTGCCGACCTTTTAAGGATTGGGATTTTGGGGATTTAGGGATTGGGGTAGGGGAAGGATTGGGCCTCCGGTAACCTCACTCACACGGCGAAACACAACGTTGTGGTTGTTTCACGCCGGTTTTCTGTGAGGCCGTGGTATCACTCCGGTCGAGCCCACACTGCCCAAGTGCCCCCTAAACGGGACTATAGTCTTATATCGCACTATTGGTTCGATTTGGCTGGATAACTTACTATCGTCTTCTCTTCTTGGTGGAAATTCATGTTGCAATTATATTTATCGTAAGAGAATCAACATCGCGTGATCTTATTATCTGATCGTCTGTTCTGTATTGGAACCTAAAATTGATAGAAAGTGTTATGATATCCATAATAAAATATTATTTTCATAGATCTCCAACAAAAAAATAACATGTAAAAATAAACAGCTCCCAGCAGATTTTCGACGATGTTTTGATTTTTAACGAACCCACGGATCAACAAGTTTGTAAGTAATCGGCTCTGTTTATGGACTCCCGCAACACCGCGAGTTACAAGCGCGCAGCCTGCTGTTAGAGGGTTAGCAATTAAGTATTAGGGGCTTGGGAATTGGTAAATAGGGAAATCCTCCCAGATGTGACCTTCGGCAACCTCACTGCGAATCAGGCACGTTTCTTTTTCTGTGATCCCGTGCTATAGTTAACTCTTCTCCAGCCGGCCCATTCGTGCCGAAGGCTCTCTCAATTATATTACGAGAACACTATTAGATTACCTTAATACGCAAGACGAAACCTACAAAAATTTTCATTACCAAGTGCTTGGGCGTGACTGATAAGGAAATCAGCCGTTGCGCTAGTAGATAACCCGTTGTAACGAGATAACAACATTACATCACAATCAATATTAGTCGGCAAATGTATACTAGCTTCGGTACCGGCTTTGTCCGCACGCTCTTTACCAAGGTGAAGAGTAGCCTATATTATTATATTTATATTTTTACTATTCCAGACTCTCTCTCCATGTTAATGGCAAATTTTACTTGGTTAAGTTTTTTTTGTGTGGTAGGTCGGCAAACGAGCAGGCCGATTACCTGATGGTAAGCAATCGGTGCCCATGGACACCTGCAATACCAGAGGTAAGACGAGTGCGTTGCCGGCTTTCTGAAGGTTAGGTTTTCGGAGATTTAGAGATTGGGGATGGGAGGTGGAGAAGTATAAGCCTCCGGTAGCCTTAGTTATAAGGCGAAACACACGCTATGGTTTATCACGCCGGTTTTCTGTAAAGCCTTGGTATCACTCCGATCGAGCAGGCCTCGCCGAAGCTTGGCTCTCCCTCACTCGTTTTATTAAATCATTTATTTCAAGTAGACCGTTATAAGCACTTTTGAAGGTCAAACAAAATTTGAATGATATCAAGTGTCAGTCTGTCGGTTAATCGTCTTAGTGAAGCTATTTGCTCGTTCCAAAGTGTAGATTCCGATGGAGAATAACAAGCAAGAAACTCCATGGTTACTCTTTTTAAATCAGTTTCACATACAGATTCCTTATACAAACAGTTGGTTCAATTATGTGAGGATAGTGACAGAGTAACAAACATCGATATAATATCTATAAAATATATAATCTAATAAAAAACGTCAGAAGTTACTCAGCAAAAATCACGCACCTCACTCTTAGTTAAACAATTAGCGGAGACCATTTAGAGAAGTTCAATAAACTCCATTATAATGTTATTTTGTATAGTTATTCCTCGTTCTTGGCCTCTGTATTGGACCGGTTAAATGTAGTTAGTTTTGTTGTTGATTGCCTCTTTAGAACGAACAAGAAGTCTAGTTAATCCTATAGTTGGGAATAACACATAATAATAATTGATATAATGTGTTTTTTAATCTGTGGAGTAGAAAAAGATGCAAATAATGTAATATCCACTTATCACCAAAATCCCAGGTCTTTTAGAACAAGCCGTGTATACCATTCTATGGAATTCCAAATTTAAAATCAAGACACGTGGTATCTATATATTTATGTACTTATACGAAAAAAAAGTATCAATTTCGCTTTGTCATGGCATGCTGTTGTTCAGTCGGGGTTGCGGGGTAAGCGCAATGAGGCACCGCGACCTCGGCCCAGAGCAGGAGAAGGAACAGGGGGGTTTGTAGTCAGTAAGAGTCTGACACTCCCTCCCGCCCGACCCTGGCCAGGAGAGGTCATTTGACGATTTTAACCTCACAAAAAAAAAATGGCATCACACCTGAACGGCTAGAATTTAAATATTTTTTGTATCTATGCATTTTACATGACTCCCTTAATACAAAAAGACGTGTCAAGATGTTTACCTTCATTTAATTGGATGGATTAACAAATTGGATCTTAGTAAAGATATAAAATGGCCTATCTCCTCTCATCTAAATATAACCTGAAAACGATTATTTCGCGTGCCTGTTATTTCGCCAGTTATTACAGCCACGATTATGTAAAATTTATGTGTAATCTGTATAGTGCTACACGATTTTATATGCGTGTTAAACATAATTTTATTTTCTTAACACTTCTTGGCTGGTCGAGGTTTACGTCTAAAGCGTTTACACATCTAATTAACATAGTTTTCTTGAAAATGTTACATGAAAACGAACGTAGTATAATTTAAGTTTGTTAAGAATTTACGTATGTAGTATCGTATGTCAGCCTTCGTTTTAATTGCAAGAATTAAGCCTCTATTCTTTCTTGTACCTACTTCAAAATATGAATGTCTATGTAATGTAAAATAATTGAACGGATAAACCTTAAAGCGGTAATAAACAAACTTGTCTTCTCATTTTCAATATTATGTGCCTACTAGAAAGGTGTACTTTTACTTAGGTGGTAGGTTGGTTTTAGGTGTACTTTTTTGTGTACGGCGAAAATCATCAAATGATATCTCTATTTTTCTCCGAGGGCGTATAAGACTAAAGACCGCGTTTCTCCTCCTTCTCCAGGCCAGGATTGCGGTACAATATTTCTCTTTACCCGCAACCCTGGCTGAATCTAGGACTTGGAATAGAATAAAGGTATTGAAACTTGTACTTTATGCTTTCAGATTAAGAGCTCATCATCGACTGCACAGCGGCGACACTTTCAACTGCACTGCAGATGGATGCACGAAGTTCTTCACGACCCTTAGCGACCTTAAGAAACACATACGAACACATACACAGGAGAGACCGTACAAGTAAGTGGAAACGATAAATAATAATCTAATTTGATTAAAAAAATAAAAATCAATAAATTGTATCTTCAGTAATCGAAGTAGATCTCACAATGTTTGATGCCTTTATTATGATAAGATTAGAGGCCCGCCCCCGCTTCGCACGGTCCAACTATCTCGCTATCAAAGGGTCACTTTTTCCTAATCTTCCGTTCTACTTTTCTAATGTTTTCTTTGATAAGAACCTTTTCCTGACAATAACAAACACAACAAAAAAAGAATTAGCAAAATTGGTCCAGGCGTTCTTGAGTTATGCGCTTACCAACACATTTTGCGATTCATTTTTATATATTAGATAAGGTTTTAAGTAAAGACGTTACTTATTAATAATTGTATAAAACGTTATAAACTTTTATTCTCAAAATCTTTAAAAAGTTTATCCTTTATCACCTCGATATAGGAAAACTTACCTGCAAACATGGGCGTAGACAAGATACTGATTTATAATCTGTGTCTTTAAGCATAGATAATAAAGATAGTAAAATGTCAATGTCATGCAGTATTCGAGTCACGCGGGAAATTTAAGATCACCGTTCGCATTTTTATCTCCTTAATTTGTTGTTATTTGCTTAAGTCGAAAATTCGCATTTAATTTGCTTATCTTATTAGCAACACATAATTAGCTGAAACTTACACCCAGATTTAAATTCCATAGCTACTGAGTACGAGGTCCAATATATTATTTACCCGGGAAGAAAAAAGTTGTTCCTGGGGCATCTGGTAATCTATAATCGATTAGGTACTAATTATATAAGCCCGAAAAGTCCTAGAGTGGCGACCAAGGACCGGAAAACGTAGTGTGGGCAGGCCTCCCACTAGGTGGACCGACGACATCGTCAGAGTCGCGGGGAGCCAATGGATGCAGGTGGCAACTTGTCGTTCGACGTGGAGAGCCAAGGGGGAGGCCTTTGTCCAGCAGTGGACGTCTTCCAGCTGATGATGATGATGATCTAAGTACATTCTACATAAATAATGTAATGTTGCCAAGTACAAATTTTTAAACTAGTTTAGACAGCATTATGATTGACCTTTTTTTTGTGAAAATCAACAAATTACTTTTTCGATTTTTGACGAGGGAGTGTCGGACTCTTACTGATTGAAAGCCCTTCTCCAGCTCTAGGCCGCGGTGCCCTATTGCGCTTGCTCCGCAACTTTATGTTTTTTTATGGAATAGATCGGCTTAAGAGCAGACGGATTATCTGATGGTAAGCAATCAGCGCCGCCCATGGACACCCGCAAGGCCGCAACACCAAATGAGTAACGAGTGCGTTGCCGGCCTTTTAGGGATAAGGGTTTCAGTTATTTAAGGATTGGGGGAGGGCGTTGATTGGGGTTCCAGTAACCTCACTCACACGGTGAAACACAACACTGTGGTTGTTTCACGCCGGTTTTCTGTGAGGCCGTGGTATCACTACGGTCGAGCCGACCCATTCGTACCGAAGCTTGGCTCTCCCACAGTTAATTAACAATTTATTTTTGACGAAACGCTGGAAGCTTGCCTAAAAATCCGCTTTGTCATTCGTTTACTATAATCAGCTAAATGGAAAATATATTATTATCTTATCTAAAAAGAGATAGCCATATTTATTATAGGTACTTATTAATAATAGTATCTAAATTACTCTTTGATTCATTACTTTAATTTACGAAACTATTAATTAGATTATTTAATTTTATATACCTAAGCGATAAGAATAGTTTAGTACTTATTTAAAAGAAAACATTTCACGTAGGGCCTTCTTTTTAAGTCTTGAACTGTCGTTTGCAGCTTGCTAAGCCATTCTACCTTTATGAAAAAAGCATATGCTCATTTTTGTAAGACCGGTAGACCTCACAGAATACCGGCGTGAAACAACCCACAGCGTTGTGTTTCGCCGTATGAGTGAAGTGAGGTTACCGGAGGTCCAATCCCTCCCCTTCCCCTATCCCCAAAAGGCCGGCAACGCACTCGTAACTCCTTTGGTGTTGCGGGCGGCGCCGATCGCTTACTATCAGGTCCGTTTGCTCGTTTGCCGACATATTATACCATAAAAAAAAAACCGGTAATGCACTTGGCTTGTTAGCCAACGCTTACAAATTACTGTTAGGTGGCGTTTTAGTTAGTTTACACCTGGCTCTTAAAAATCTATTCTAGATCTTGCCCTTCAAAAATAATCATACACTTCTGAACACAATAATCTTTCAGTTTTTGCGACGGAGCTTCTCACATCTGTGCAATCTCTCTGTACCTATAACGGTTTAAGTAACTGTGGGTCTTACATTAAATTTTGGTAGGAAAGTTGAAACTATTTCTTTTTCTTCTCTGATAATATCTTCTGTTTTATTTCGTTGCGGGATCCAAGCCTCGTGTACTTGGGACGCTTGATGTTTAACTTCAGTGTTTTGATCTTTTCGTGGTTGTATCTAGTGTAGCGGTTATGGTAGGTTGTGGCAGGCAGTCCCATTATCAGCCGGGGTTGCGGGGTAAGCGCAATGAGGCGTCGCGACCTCGGCCTAGAGCAGGAGTAGGAACAGGGGGGTTTTTAGTCAGTAAGAGTCTGACACTCCCTCCTGCCCGACCCTGGGCGGGAGAAGTCATTTGATGATTTTCCCCTAACAAAAAAAAAAAAGGCATGTCCCATTAAAACTTAGACTTTAATTAAAATCTATCTAAAAACATTTAGTACACAGTCAAATAGAATAAACATTTGTCCAACACAACCTATTTGGGTCGACATCTTGTTTTAGAAGTGCAAGGATTAGATAATTATATTCGTACATTGCGATACATCTGTCCACTGACTTTGAATTATAATCTTGACATCATCAGTCAATGTCTTACCTGGCTCATAATTTTAGAAATGACTGACATGACAAATTGTTTATATTGTAAGTCTCATGTTACTGCTGTTGTACTGCCAAATGCTTCTAGAAAGTGTTTTTGGCATGCAGCCAGATTATATGTCCTACCTAGTACATACTCTTGACTACATAGTATCAAAGTCGTTTACTCTGTCCCTATATCCCTATGTATGCGGTAATCTTTAAATCTACACAATGGATTAAATAGATGGAGTGATTGAAGAGGAACGTTTATACCTAAAATAACATTCATTAAATAGTGGAGAAATTTAGTGTCGGTATTGCACTCGTGCGCAGCCGGGGTCGCTAGGAGTAATATAAAAATCCAACAGTAATAATATAAATAACATATTATTAACTATGCAATAACAGTCTTGTTATCAAATTGACTAATATTATTTTTATAGAAGGAAAATATTGTTATGCTATTATCTGAAAAAGCGCGTTAAGACGTTTCGTCTTGTATTAGGTACCTAAAAAAAGGGATAAAAATTCGTAAAATTGATGTTGGTAATTTTTAAGTAGGAAGTAGATATTCGTATGTTTTAAGTTAAAGTAGTTTTTACCTTAAAACATACGAAGACTTTTTTAGTTATAAAATAGGCTTGCACCTAAGTGAGGTCATTAAATATAGTTTAGAAAAATATTATGAATAACTCGTATCTTTGTGCCGTTTGATTGAACATACACGTCTATGTTCAATGAAATAACCTAAAATCCCAAATGCAATTATATGACTTTCCTAAACAGTATCTAATAGTTTATAGAGACGTATCTCCTCAAAGAAAAAGATTTTATATTTATATTAATCTAAAATTTTCAGATGTCGATCGGAAGGGTGTGGGAAGTCGTTCACAGCGTCACATCACCTGAAGGCCCATGGGCGCACGCACTCGGGGGCGAGGCCACACGCCTGCCCCGAACCGGGCTGCAAGAGGTTATTCTCCACCGCTACCAGCCTCAAAGCACATGCAGTAAAACACCCGGTTAGTATTTTTGTATTAATTAAATGATTACCCTATACTGTTATTTTCTCTGATATTTATCAAACTAAGAATTGTTCGGTGTTTCGATGGTACTTTTCCCTTGGAATTCTTAGTTAGGGTCACAACTATAACAGCTATTAAACTTCAAATACAAACAGAAGAATCCCGTTCATTTTTTAATTCAAATATGAAAGCTTTTGGCGTCTATCCAAATAAGAACATTTTCTTCTACCGCAAAAATGTTATGATGAATTAATAAATCGCAATCAAACAAACAAGACATTAGGGACATTTATTAATCATGTATACGCTGTTAAATATCTTTTTGATGCTGAAATCCGCCCTAGTGTCGGTTCCGCATGCTTCGTAGGCTTTATGGAGTTACAAATATAGGGAGTTAAAATCAAGACGTGATTACTCTATACACCATTATTGACGACTCCGATATGATTCGTGATAGTTCAAAATTTCTGGCGTTGAATCCTGGCACCGCAGCACCGGGTGCTCAGTCCAAGGTCGAAGAAGTAAACGCCTTAGCCAGCATCACTGTTTCTTCTAGGATACCAGATTTTTGGGCAGACCAACCGAGGTTGTAGTTTTCCTAAATTGAGTGGTGGAGTTCGCCGTGGATAGTCAGCGATCGGCTGCCAAGCAGAATTTGGTCGTTACCAAGACGAACAAGGCCGCTATTCGACAGGTCAGCGACTTGGTACTTACCCCTCTTCAGACGCAGAAGAATCAGGTCTTGAAGGAAACACTACTACAACTTTTTGAAGAATCATCAAGTCACGTAATTTCTAGAAATATTGAGATGGAGTTTGAAGCCTTAAAAGTCATCTTACTTCTCTACGCCGACACCGGTGCCCCTGATTTCCATCCTGCAAAGTACGTGGCAATTTTTGTCACAAATAATGATAACTATATGCGGCAAATCTCACAGAATTTAAAACATAAGGAATATGTAATTTACTATTAGAACTTGATAGATGTAAGACAAGCATTATGGCCATTAGCGGTTATTAAGTTGTTGGTGGATTGAAACGAGCAGAGACTGAGAAATTAGTTACTAGTTTAAATGTATATTTAAGTGTATATACATCTGTTAACAAGTACAATGATTGAGAATTATCAATTATAACTACAAACTTCAATGATATTTGGCAAGATATTTGAATAAAATATATTAAAAGTTTAAATTATTTCAAATTGTTTTTGTAAGAAATTAATATTCGCAGATCTTTGTAACCGCAGTATGAAAGCTCCTTTTTTTGTTATAAGTAGTAATAAAAGTATGATTTTTAATTTAAAAATTGGTTATAACAATGCTTCTGTATAGATAGCCTCAAAGCTCAAACTCGCCTACACTATCAATATATTAATATGTACATAGATGTACAGGTAAATATACTTATAATAATAGTTAGCATGCAAGTGAACCGTGATGATTATTTTTTTTTTGTGAGGAGAAAGTCATCGAATGACTTCTCCCGCCCAAGGCCGGGCGGGAAAGAGTGTCAGACTCTTACTGACTACAAACCCCCCTGTTCCTTCTCCTGCTCTGGGCCGAGGTCGCGGTGCCTCATTGCGCTTAATGTAGCCTTTACATTTATTTAAATATAGCATTCCCTGAAATATTTTAAGGAAATAAAAACGTATTGGTCGTGTTATTAGACCACCGTTACTAACGTTTAGCCGGGGTTGCGTAAAAAGGGGCTGGTTTTTAGCCCGAAAGAAGACTCACTCGGTATCTGATTATTTGTATCCATTAAAAAATATCACCGTTATATTTTGCTTAGTCGATAATGGAAGTATCTCAGTAATGTTATGTGTAATTAATATTGTCGTGTTAATATAAAATGTTACTTTGTTTTATTTTTATTCTGAAAGTAAAGTGCAATTGTGCATTGCCTGATATTAAATGATTGTAATACCTATGTATATTAAAACATTGGACGAAACGAGACTTGGCTATACACAGCACACATACCTACATTATGTTTTTAAGATATGTACCTAACAATTATTGTTATTTACACATCAAACCTATTTTCGTCGTTAATTGCTTAGTGTTCAAAACAAATGTAAATATTTTAGTACACAAATGTACTACAAAATGATGTTGCACTGACACCCGGTTTCCGAAAGGCCAATCAATTTTAAAATCAATTTAATCTCTTGTCAAGTCATCTGATTGGTTGACTGAATTATCAACAACCAGTCAGATGACTTGACAAGAGATTTAACAGGAGATTCGTTAATTTTAGCGTAGCAAATAAATACTTATTTTTTACAAAAGTAAATTAAAGAATCTCTATTCGGTGGCCAACAAACCACCGGTGGTGTTGTCATACTTATAATAATTATCGAGCAACTAGTGTGATTTGTTTGTAGGTAAGCAAAACCTTGTATTTGTTTAAGTAAGGCATAAACTTTATGTCATTGTATTTATGTATATTTTTAACAGGCCTACTGTAGGAACCTTAATCTCATATATTAGTATACATTTATGTAAGTCTTTTAGTAGCGGCTGCGCCCGCCTCTTAAGTTTTATGTAATTGCAAATACACAATGTCAACTTCAACACGTGTATCATTTTTCTTACAATTACCTAACACATCTTTAAAATGATAAAAATAGTTTGTTATAGACAAGCGTATTGGTTTGGCATAAACGTAGTTCTGACGAAAATTGAGCATTTTGTATTTTTAGTATGTTTTGATACTGGCTGAAATATATGAATCAGCTGCTAAGCTCGGCGTTATTAGTCATTCATAGAAATGCGTAGATGAAGTAAACATGGACGGCGCTCGAGTATTCAATGAGTTCTTTATGTGAATTTGTATAGAGTCTAACAAAGTAGTCTCATCGAATAATTTACTTTTTTACACACTGCAGTGACATCCTGAATTTTTCTTTTTACTTCACAGATCATAACGGAACCAGTTAAAGACGTCATTGAACCTGTACAGAAACAAATACAGCCGACCAAAACAAGCGAAGATGTCATGAACTGGGACAGTCTACTCGAATCCTTTGGCAGAATCACGACCGAATCCAACTCAACCGATGGCAGTTTGGAGGACATCACCAAAGTCAACACTGTCGACATAACAGAACTCCTTTTCCCAGACAACAATCAAAACCTTAAGAATATAGAAACCGATGACCTCGCAGTAGACTATGACCTAGCCAGTCTAACTCTATCGCCATTCGCAGTCGATAAAGTTGACAGGAAAAGTCTTACAGAAGACCCGTGGGTCGATGTAAACGATCTGCAACCAACAGTACCGCTACAAACACCCGAGATAGAGATGACACATCCCAAGCTAGAAGTCAAGTCTAAAGCTATGCAACTGGCGCTAGCCAATGAAATCGAAGACCAGGCGCCGTGGGTGGATGTAAGCGCTTTAGCAGCTTCAATATCAGAAACCCCAGTTTGCATCGAAGAAAAAACTCCAGAAAGCATTTTCACAATGGCAACATTCGTACCAACACACATGCAGAGTTACATAGACCTGAACACTGAAGTTGCACCGACCGCTAATCTTATAACTCACGACTCATTCAATTTAGATACTCCAAGTGTTCTAGACGTCGGCGATAAAGTGTTCAACGACAGTGAAATAGTCACTAACCTCGATACAAATAAAATAGATACTGACATCGATTTATTCTTAGGCTCTGATGAAGATAGATCTCTGAACACACCTCCTCCGTCCAAAGTAAGGCAAAATATCGAAATAAACCCAGCCAACTCGGTTCTCTTCAATACGGACTTAGATTTGGAAGATACATTATTGTTTGATAATGAACCTCCCTCTGATATGTATGTAGTGAGGACTGAGAATATATTTGGTAAGGTTCCTAAAAGGAATACTCTGGAACAGCTGGCGGCTGACGCTGGCATCTGTTCGTGCATGACCTGTGAGTGTGATCCTTCTGTTGGAGAGTGTAGGGGCAATTGTTCTGAAGAAGAACCTCCTGTGGAGCCTCCTAAGCCGCAGCAATGTCTGGATGATACGTGTTCATGTATTGACTGTAAATGCGACCACGAAGCTATGAAGTGCGCAGTAGGTTGCGGGCAAGCTACTGACACAAATCACAATACATTCTTACATTACCATCGGCGACACAAAAATTCAAACTTAGAAGATTTAGGAATTTTCACCGTCCATGAAGGTGAAGACAGTTTTCCATCTTCAGCATTGATGAAAAGTTTCGCGTGCTCGTGTAGTGGACATGGATCTGGTGGCAAATGTGGTAAGGATCATGATGAACAGAAGTCGTCTTGCTGTGACAAGAAGGAAGCTCCTAGTAGTAGTTGCAAGACGCCTTGTAGTGCCAAAAAATCCTCTTGTGGGGATAAAAAGTCGCCCTGTAGTGAAAATAAGTCTCCTTGCACTGGGAATAAATCGCCTTGTAGTGGTAAGAAGTCTTCGTGTAGTGGTAATAATACTCCTTATGCCGGTGATAGTCCTTGCAGTGCCAACAAGACGCCTTGTAGTAAACAAACGCCTTGTGGAGGTGATAAAACGCCTTGTGGCGCCAAAAAGTCACCATGTAGCGCCAAAAAGTCTACTGAAGAAGGTTCGTGTCACAACGCCAAAAAGTCTATTTCCGAAGAAGTATCGTCATGCACGGTCAAAAAAGAAGCATGCTGTGATGGCGAAGAAGCTTGTTGCGTTACAATATGTTTCAAAAAACTTGAAGCTTTCAAACAATTTCTTTCAGATAACGACCTGATACACGCTTTAAAAGCGCATAATTTCAATCTAACATCAAGTTAACAATTGAAGCTTTTACAACCGTTGCATTTAACTATGTACAAAAGCATTGGGTTTCTTGCATTGCCATCTTTACGCTGTTTGTCAGCTCTAAGTGATATTTTCATCGATATAAGTAATAATATTATATGTGAACTGTGTTTTTGTTGTTTTATATACATGTTTTTGCTGTAGCAATGTTATACAATTTACGTATTTAATAGATATACATACATTTGTATAGTCAGTGGCAAGGATTGTGGCCCAAGCTCAATCCGTGGTTTATCACGACATGAAACTCTGAGCAAGCCTAAAATTGATGGATCAAATCGAACTTAAAGCTCAGACAACTTTTATATGCGCATATAAAAGTTGAAGCATTTTTTATTCCCATGTTTTGGAAATCATTGGTGGGTTAACTGTGCGACCCAGTGATACTCGATGCAACTTTTTATCGCAAATATGTTTTACAGAATAAATAGCTTCATAGACTTCCTGGCTGCACACAAATTTTACATTTATCACATTAGGCAGTTTCGTTTGGGTCAGATTCTGTGCCACTGAATATTTATTTATATACAATGAATTTGTGCAGTTAAAATGTTTGTCAATTATTTTATTATGTGTAATGTAAATAACTTGAAATTCTCCAATACAATGCTCTCTGTCCCGAGAAATATAATGAAAAGAAGTACAAAGATATTCATATAAATTGAAAAAAAGAATTATGTAGATGTGATAATAAATTATGATTATGTAATAATTTTGAAACCAGAAGTGCAATGTTTATAAAATATATCAATAAAGTAGGTTTAGTATACAAAGAGTATTTATGCTGTACTTCTCTAATGAGACAGAGTGCCACTTGTGTGCCATAGATAAAAAATACACAAAAGATTATTATGAAGCTCGTTAATAATGTAAGAAACAAATGTTTGGTGCTATCTATAGTTATATAAGTACCCCAGTGCCTTAAATGTTGTACTTACACTATGCTTATTCTGTACAAAATGTTAAATAATTTTATATGAGATTTTTATTCATTAGTTTAATACTAAATAGATGCAATAATGTTAATGCTGTAAGGTTTCTAGTCCACATAACAAATAAAATGCTTTATACTATATTGACCACTTTTATTTGATTAAAATTTAATGAGTACAATTATAATTATCCATTAATTTTCATTCACACCATAATTGGGTAGTTTCCGAAATATATTACTTCAATATTTTTACTAGCTACTTTTAATGAGAATAAGAAGTATGTTTTTTATTATGAATTTGTATGTCGGAAACTGCCATAATATTAAACAAATTATTGAAAAACCTATTATTATCCATTTTTTAACATGAAATTATTTTATTTCATGTTAAAAATGGATAATATGCACTAATCACCATGTTTCAAGGTCTATTGAAAACACTTAAATACAAGTTCATTAAACTTCTTACTTACACTCAAAACTTAATTAATTTTATTATATTTGATTGAGTATTCTTTAATTGATTCATAAATGAAAAGTGAGTGAATTCCATTTTGTCTTAAATAATATTATGCCTTAATCTATGTCACAAAGAACCGTAACATAATGTTTACAAACATACATATTCACATTGAATGATGATTTGAAACAACAATTTGTTGATCATACAAATCATTGCTCCGCATGGGAATCAAAACCCACCTCGCATTGCACAGTAGCCGGTTGCCCAGCCACTATACCAGTCATACATTCATTTATGATATTAGTTTCCCAGAATTCAGAATAAACTAATAATGTGTACATTTATTCTTACACACAAAATAATATCACTGTATCAAAATAAAATAGAGATCAGAATATCTTATACATAAAGTATGTCAGAGAATGGTTTTGAGATCAGTGGGCCATTGATTGATTGGATGATTAGCGTCTTTTCTTCTTGTCATGGCGGCGAGCTCGAGACATGGTTGCTCTGTGACCTGGAGATGACTGCTCAGAACTGCATTCATCACTGTCCGTATAGGCCTGAAAGTTAAGGAAAATAAATTATGAATAAAATAGTATGGTGAGTGAAAAACCATTGCTTGTTTATGAGTTGATGCAATTTGTAGACAGGTGGTATCTAAGAGAATTCTTATATCAACTTTAGTCATAATAAATAGGTACTGACTGGACTTTATCACAAATATTAACATCATGTTTGTGTTCATGTTGTTCCAGTAATTTCTGGATTTTATGCTTATTATTTCTTTAAACATATTAATTTCCATTTATTGTATACCACATAACTACCCAATGAAAGCAACTAAGTTAAATTTAACAGTCTGTACAATTTATTAAATATTGGGCTGGCCATGTCTTCCGAAATGCGATGTACTTCCTTAAAACATTTGGGCATTGTTTTTATGAATGATATACCTAGCCAATTTAATAACCTAAGGCTACCCACTGACCTATACCTACGTAATTCATGTAATTCACTAGTATTTATTTAGATTTGCAAGACACTTGTATGCTTATTAGAAACTCAGGAATAATATATTATCTATAAGTATCTTAACTGAAAGTTACCTTTTCATAAGGATGGGGTTCGCTTTGTTCATCAGTCAGAGTTACACAGGCCATAAGACAGACAATCTGAAAAGCTGCACCGATGTACAAGCCATACCGAATAACAGTACTCATCAAATCTTCAGCAAAAATCTCACTAGGAATCATTTTGTTCTGTTGTGGTGGAAACACACGTACACGGCGGTATTCAAAATTAATTACAGGGTATAAATCAGTATTAACGCAGATATTAAACGCCGTTTTCTCTAGCGAAACTCAGTGCGATTCACGATTTATACTTTTATGATATAAGCAAAGCTTGACAATTGACAAAGTTTACGCTTCTGTCAAACTGTCAAATATGAAGTTTGTCCGGGAAGAACTGTAACAGTGTTGCTAACTCTAGAAGAGCTTACTCCCTAAAAATATTTCATTTCTCATTAGTATAGACGACTCCGGTTCCGGCAGGTTCCGGTCATAGGCGTTCGACTTATTCATAATCGTGACATGAAAATAAAGTTATATACTACGATCATTTTAACCGTCAAATCGATTCGTTTCAGTTTACCTGTATTACTAATTAGGAAATAGACGAACAGACATACATATTTATTTATTTTGATATCTTTCTACATTTTTTCTTCTCATATTTTTCTGCTATTTAAAAAAAGGTTAAGATTCAAGTGCGCACTAAGAAATACTTACCTTTATCTATAGATGGCGTTGCATGACATCCTACAGTCGTAACGGGATATAAAAACTTGAAAGGATTTTTTAGGAGTAAAGCCGTCGCAGAAACTTATATGACATCAACTAACATGTCTCTCTGTAGATTGATAAATTAATTGTACCGACAGTACAATAAACAGTAACGAATCACTTGATTGAAAAAATGATGCGCGTTTATCAGAAATTAGATACATTTTCATGGTGAGGTATTTTTAAATTTCATGTTTGGCTAAGTATTTAATTCAGTAAATATGATGAAATTATATTTTATTTGTAAGTATTTTTTTGTTTTCGTACCTACGTCATGTAGGTAGGTACGAGTTCTGAAAAAAGTATGAAGGTATCAGGTAGACAGTTAGGCTAAAAAGTCTAGTATTCTTCTTTTTTGCTAGGTAAATAACTACCTACGTACTATAGTAATTGGGGGTTGCGGAAGGCAGGGACAATATAATGAATAGGCACAACGGTTTAAAAAAACATTATATTCAATCAATCTTATTGATCATCTACTGGGCATAAAAGATTCTAGACTTGACGGACACTTTCATTACAGTGATATGTTTAGGTATAATTGTATCAGCGAAAAAACATAAACATAAGAACTCGAACGAGAGTATCACGGCAGAGATGTCTGAGATAAAACTGCGATACAGTGATGAAGATGATATGGAATATATTCCTTTCGTCGATACATATTTGGATCTAAGAGGAAGTATGAGGAAGCAATTCGCTCTGGTAAGTATGTGTACAAGTCTCTATAAACTACATCACTCCCCTGCCCCAATCCTAAAATCTCCAAATCTCTAATCCGCAAAATCTCCACTCCCCAAAACAACGCAACGCACTCCTCCGTTATTATGGTGTCTATGGGCGGCGTGGATCACTTACTATTAGGTGGTCCGCTTGATCGTTTACGTATCACATAAAAAATTCATTTTTTCAACAACTGACCTGATTGTAGTTGGTAACCGGAGAGTAGGTAAGAACAAGTTATCTTTTATGCGAAGTGCAAATCATCACATCACATCACTTCACAGGCGAAACGGAGTGTCTGACTCTCACTGACTAAAGTGTCCTGCTCCACTTTGTGTACCTTTCCCCTGTTGGTTATTGCGCTTGCCCCACAGCGACCTGATTGTAGTTAATTATTGGAGGGTAACAGCAACCTTACCTTGGTTGCTGTTACCCTCCAATAATTACTTGGTTGGTTACCTTGGATTTATTATCATAAAATGTGGGAGAGCCATGCTTCGTCGCGAATGGGTCGGCTCGACCGGAAAACCGGTGTGTTTCGTCGTGTGATTGAGTTTCCCAGAGGCACAATCCTTCCCCTCTCCCAATCCCAAAATATGCAAATCCCTAATCCCCAATAGGTCGGCAACGCACTCGGTACTCCTCCGTGGTTATGGCTGTCCATGGGCGGCGCAGATTGCTTACCCATCAGGTAATCCCATTCCCATAAAAAATGTAATCTTCTCCGTAAAGTTTGGCCAGATATGGACGAAAATGATCAGAAACGAAACGAATTATTCGTGCTAGGGGTACCAGGTCCATGAAGTGGAGTGGTACAGTACATCTACATTTCTTTTGTCTTCAGTAAAAACATCGTTATAGGGATATATTCGAAGTAAATACGTTATGTGTGTTAGTGAAATCAGTTTGAGGTCGGTCTAATAATTTGCAAATAACTACCGATATTACTAAATACTTCTCAAATTGTATATAAAAAAGGATAAATACTGATCTGTCAGCTTTTAAGCACAACATATAAGGGTCATATGAAACTGCCTGTTAGAATCTAAATAAACTAGAGTGATCATAGTCCATTTTGTGACTATTGTTTTAGGAAGCAGCGTTCGTGGATCATGGCAGGAATATGATATGTTCTCCAGTTTCTGCATTGATGCCTTTAGGAAAATTAGCCTTGGGAGCGGAGGGAAGGTCAGAAAGAGAATTGTTACATGCGCTAGGGCTTTCGAATACAGAACAAGTAAGTATTTTTCCGTAGGTACTAATAAATTGCTTCATTGTTAATCTATAGCCACGTTGTGTAATACATATATAAATTTGAATAAGAAACGTAATTGGTGTGAACTATGAGCCAAATAAGTATATCGGGTACCTATTTATAAGGGTGGTGAAACTGGCCCTAAGTATTGTTAATAATGATAAAACATCTCAAGACTAGTGGGAACCTGTATTTATTGAAATAGAATTGAAAAATAATACAAATCACAAATCTCTCAAGCGAAATACAAGAATTAGAGGCATTTTTAAAAATAGCCAATCGAGATGTTTAAATTTTTTTTAAAATATGAACAACTACTTACGGTAATAAACCTTGACGACGAAGAAAGTTTCTTTTTAATTCTTTACATATTATTTTCAAAACAGATTAAAAGCACGTTTTCCCAGTTAATCACAAATATGGAATATCTGCCCGGAGTCACTATGGATGTGGCAAGTAGAATATATGTTGGATCGGATAACAGGATTAACAAAAGATTCTTAAAAGACACCAAAGAAATCTTCAAGTCATCTTGTCAGAAGATTGATACATCAAAACCATCCAAAGCTGCATCGCTGATTAACAATTGGGTAAGTAAAATTAAATTCACAGACCAATCGTAAATTAAATTTTTGAACATCCTGAGTACTCTACTTCAGTGTCTCAAATCTTTTTTATTCCTTCAGCCGTGACTTCAGTTCTAAGCAAAATGTTTCTTGTTTTTATGATATGGTATGCAACCAGCGCCGCCCATGGACACCCCAACAATCCAAACACCAAAGGAGTTAGGAGTCCGTTGCCGGCATTTTAGGGATAAGGGTTTCGGATATTTATCTAAGTATTGGGAAGGGTTAGGGGAGAGTGGGTGAAGTGATTGTACCACCGGTGACCTCACTCACACGGCGAAAAACAACGCTGTGGTTGTTTCATGCCGGTTTTCTGTGAGCCCGGGTACCACTCCTGTCGAGCCGACCCATTCCTGCTGAAGCTTGGCTTTAAACATTTATGTAGTCAATTGACAATAACAACTAACTCGCGTGAATTATAGAAGATTCTCCGCGACGTGCACGTTGCATATGAATAAGAGTCCCGCTGTGACTTGAAATTAGTAGAGCTTTTTTCTGTCTCACATTCTTAAGTCGATAATAACTAAAAGCAGTAGTCCGCTTTTAATCTAATGTATTGTCCAGCATAAAACTTATAAATTAATTAACTTTATCTTTAATAATCAGGTATCAGAAAAAACAAGAGGAAAAATCGAGAAGTTGATTCATTCAAATGATATTTCGCGGGATACCTCTCTGATTTTGGTCAACGCCATTTATTTCGCCGTAAGTACGAAGTACTAGCCGGAGTTACGAGTTAATCGCAATAATTCACCGCGGCCCCGACTCGGAGCACGTGGTAGAAGAAAGAGGTTATTTTTTGACCAACTATATAAACAAATCCCAGAAATATAGCACTGACAAGCGATACTGATGCACTTTGAGCCTCCTATGTATGCAACCAATTATACATTTGAAGATTGATTTTAAAAGGTTCAGGTTTACAAAGGACTACTCCTCATTATTTATCAAATCTGTCTCTGTCATTACGAAACTCGCGAAAAGACCAAATGGCATGTTCCGACTTCCTGGTTGTCCCAGAAATACACATAAGCGTAAATGAGTGTATATTTGGTTTGATAAAAGGTAAGGGTCTAAAAAGTTAGACCCACATTAGGTGCTTATTTTAGGATGAACCTATAGTCATTAAGCTTCCATTTAGGCCTGCAAGACTTGACATGGGTGGGCATCCCTTTTTGCCATTTCCAAAAATAGACTGCTTGTTAATTGCTGGGGTTAGTATTTCCGGGTTAAACATGAGGCAATTGAAATGATTATTGAAGTTGTAAATTCTTACTCGCAAAAGGTTAGCCTCCTTAGCCTAGTTCAGTATAGATGGTTTCTATAATGTATAGGAATCAAAATGTTTGTAATTTTACCTCGGCACAGGAGGAGAGGTCTTAGCCGGTAAGAGTCCGGCAGTACTCATACCTTCCTATAATATTCGTGGGGAGATGTAAGTGTCCGTGAAGATTTCCCCTCCTGCTGTAAAATAAAAAAACCTTATCTCGAAAAGAAAAAAATGTATAAAGATTTCTAAAAGTCATCGATAAGTTAAATGGTCAACGAATTAATTCACACACATTCGTTTCTAAATCGATAACGATAATCGATACTGAACGTGACCAGAGGGCCTACCATGACGTGTTAGAGCGTGAATTTTCCAGGCGAGAAAGAGGGATGGAGCTATATACGTTTTATAGCTCCATCCCTCTTTCTCGCTCGGAAGATTGACATAAAGCGTCAATCTTCTCGGCGAACGAACATGGCATGGTAGGCCCACAGGGGGCTGAACTTGTACCGGCTGGAGTAAATGAATCGATGTTCAAGTCTAAGTACCGAAGAGTTTGCCTGGCTAGCTAGAAGTTACTGCGGCCGTGGTCTGAAGTAGGAGGTGGAACGGGGGTTTTTAGGTAGCTACAGTAGGAAATTTGTTGTTTTTTTCCTCACAAAAAATACTGATGGTTATTATGTTACTCTTACTATTTATTAGTAATAGGTACTACAAATTAAAGAACTAACGGATTGAATGATATTTGGCAGAGAGAGATAGACTTTAGTATGGAATACAACATAGGCTTCTTTTTGCTTTTGAACCTACTACTTCTACCTCAACCGAAGGGAGAAGCCAGGATAAAACGACACTATACGTAAAATAGTTAAGACGTCTAATAAAAAATCTAATTAGCAAAAGGTCAGTGGGAACTGATTTTTTATTAGAAATTTATACCTATTTATAGTAGCTGTTTTTTTTTGTGGAATGGTGGCAAACGTGCAGACAGATCATCTGATGGGATGATGGTACCATGGACACTCGCAGGACCAGAAGAGTTGCGAGTGCTACCTATTACCGGCCTTTTAGGACTTAGAGATTCGAGGTCTTTCTGGATTGTGTATCCGGCAACCTCACTCCTATGGTAATACACAACGCAAGCAATGTTTCACGTTGGTTTTCTGTGAGGCCTTGGTATCACTGTCCGAGGTGGTCCATTCGAGCCGAAACATGGTTCTGTATGAAATTATAATTTCAGGGAACTTGGCGTGAACAATTCAAAAGTACCTTCATGGATGACTTCTATTCACCATCAGGAACGCGTCATATACAAATGATGTCAAGGCAAGGGACATACAAACACTACCAATGCGATGATTTGAACGCTCAGGTAATTTTATTAAAATCTATTTTGCAATGTTTTATTTAGCTGGCGTTAATGTAGATTTAGGTTCTAGCATAAAAAGGAACCGGCTAGCTTTAAGCCAGAAAAAGACTCCCCTCGCTCCTTCTAAGGCAGGAGAAAAATTGGATGATTTTTCTCTCGAAAAAAAAAAAACTATTTATTTCTACAATGAATAATGCCGCAGACTGTCATATGCTAGTGACTAGGGCAAACTATTGATTTAATTGCGTCCTTCTCAAAATATTAACTCTTAACAGAACGGAGAGCAAGCAAATTAACTAACCACTCTCGAAATTCTTCAAAATGGATATTCAGTTTTATAACAAAACCTTAAGCTTCAAAACTATTAAACGTCCCTATGATACAGCCTAAATGAGGCAGTGACATGGACATCTAAATTAATCAAAACCTCTTTATCGTTGAATACAGATCGTGGAAATTCCCTACGAAGGCGAGCAATCTGCAATGATTATTGTACTTCCATACAGCACGAACGGTCTACCAGGACTCCTTCGAGCTCTTAAACTAGCTCCCGAACTATTGAACGAAGCTCTGGAAAAAATGAAAAAAACAGACCTTATACTGACCATGCCAAAGTTTAAAATTGAATCTCAACTCGACATTTCCACTTTGTATAAAAAGGTGAGTTGATAAGAAATTAGCGTTCGATTATAATTATGCATAATGTAATACTTTGTATAAAAAGGTGAGTTGATAAGAAATAAATGTTTGATTATAATTATGCATAATGTAATAGACACCTATAATTATTTAACTGTCCCTATCCCTGTATCTATGCTTAAATCTTTAAAACAACGTATTTTGCTGCGTTTTTTTCTAAGTCAAAGTGTAAGTCAAAATCATTTATTCCAAATTAACCATAAATTACCCTTTCAAACAAAAACAACAAAAATGGATAGGATAGCCATTTTTATTGTTTGAATAACATCCATTAAAATAAATGATGAAGGAATTTAGTATCACCATTGCATTCACGCGAAACCTTGGCCAGTTGCTAATAGATGATAATTCCCTAACAATAGGTACACAAAAATATTTTCGACATGAAAATCCTACTACAATTATTGTTCCTAACAAAGTTCTGTTAGAACATAAACGAATAGACAGGAATGGATGATCGAATTAATTATTTTGTGCTTAGAAAATAGTTAGTCTTATTTTTTTTTACTTAGATGATATTTTGCAATTTCAGGTCGGTTTACGGTCGCTATTTGATGATAGAAAATCTAAACTGACCGGCATAATCGAAGATGATACGGTTTTTATTTCTACAGCTATACAGAAGGCTGTTATTGAAGTAAATGAAAAAGGGACTGAAGCAGCAGTTGCTTCAGGTAAGAACAAAAATATCGACACTTTCACCGCCGTACTCAGAGACATTTAATTTTTACTTAAATTAATCCTTAGTAACGATTTTATACCGAAAACGATCTATAAATCTACATAAATTATTTAAAATTGGATCGTCTGTTTTAATTTTCAAATAACAGATTTTTACTGCACGCTTAGAATTAATTAATCGAATATTACCTACATAAACATAATAAGTATAACTTATTGTCTGTCTGTTTGTTCCGGTAAAGCCTAGGATGGCTAACGGATTTTTAGTAGGTAGCTGATATCATAATGGGTAACTAAGGCTACATTCATCTTCGAAAATATCTTTTATTTCTATCTCGAAAGAATATGTATATGTATAGTGATCCCGTGCGATTGCGATAGTCAAATTTTACGCGGACTAGGTCGCATATATAAGCTAGTTGCTTAAAAAAACTGTGTTAAATAAATATTAAATAGCTCTGAGTACCGTGGTAAGTTTCTAAGAAAACTTTATCATATTTATTTATTTTCAAAAGTTTTAAGAGAATGCCAAAAGATAGAATCCGAAAAGTCTAGATAATATAGGTCTTGTGAGTTTTCTATTTCTATATAGTTGTAGTCACAATCACGAAACTTAATGAAGTAGGTAGATAACAAAAAAAGATAATACTTACCTAGTTAGTAACACATCTGATTACTAAATACTTTTTAGGTATTCATTATGAAACACGAAATAATCAATTTAAAAAGAAAAATCTTTATTCTATCTTCTGTTATTTATGGTTATTTGGTACTCGTCTGTAACAAGATTAATATTATAATATAATTTTCCTTGTGTCTTATTGTCTTTATAAAAACCTTTGAACATATCTTTGTTTTTATAGTATTTACTTTATGTATATACCCACTGTTGAGCAAAGACACCTTCTCACTCAAAATTATTCTAATGATAACTTTTATCTTACCATTGAAAATTAGCCTTCAGAAAAGGAACACAATGTCTTTCTGTCTTTGTCATTTCGGGTCTGACGTCACTGGCATGTCATTTGTTTTTCACTAAGCTCATTTAAACACAAGAAAGAGAACACCATATCTTTGTCCTCTTCATTTCGGGTCTGACGTCATTGGCATGTCATTTGTTTTAGACTCAGTTAATAATAATATTATTATTTAATGAATGAAAGAGACCACCATATGTTCCTTTCCTATTCATTTCGGGTCTGACGTCACTGGCATGTCATTTGTTTTTGACTTAGTTCCATAGGTTCAATATTATTATTTAAATTATTGAAAGAGCACACCATATCTTTCTGTCTTCTTCATTTGGGGTCTGACGTCACTGGCATGTCATTTGTTTTGACTTAGTTCATAATTATATTATGTAAATTATTGAAAGAGCACACCATATTTTTCTGTCTTCTTCATTTCGGGCCTGACGTCACTGGCATGTCATTTGTTTTTGAATCAGCTCTTATTTAAATACAAGAAGGTTTGTGCGCTAATCACAATGCTTGCTCAAGGCGGATTGGCGATTTCAACTTAACAACAATATGTTAATAGTCCAGGTTTCCTCACAATGTTTTCCTTTACCATTCTTTGTTCGGCAGTGTCTAAATTAACTTAGAATGTTCATATAATTTGGAAAAGTCACATAGATACTTGTTAGGTTGCGAATCCACACCCTCTTGCATGAACCTTAGCCTCTAGTCCACCACGACAATTGACAGCTAGTAACTTTATAGTATTACGACACTTCAAATCAGGGAATTTAAATACGCAAAGTTTATACAGAATAAAAAAAATCTGTCTATATAAAAGAAAATCGAGTTAGGAACACTTTTTATAACTCAAGAACAAGTAAACCAGCCGGGGTTGCGGGGTAAGCGCAATGAGGCACCGCGACCTCGGCCCAGAGCAGGAGAAGGAACAGGGGGGGTTTTAGTCAGTAAGAGTCTGACACTCCCTCCCGCCCTGGGCGGGTGAAGTCATTTGATGATTTTCCTCTCACAAGAACAGCCAAACCGATTTGGCTGAAAATTGGAAAGGAGGTAGCTAAGAACTGGGAGAATACATGGGACATAGGATAGGGTAGAGTAGGTAGTATAGGGTAGGTAAGGTAAAGTAGGTAAGGCAGGTAGGTAGGGAAGGATGGGTGGGGGTAGGCAGGTAGGGCAGACAGTGTAGGGTGAGAAGTGCAGGTAGGTAACTAGGTTGGTTAGTGTAGGTAGTCAAATGACGGGAGCAAAGCCGAGATTAAGAGCTAGTATGAAAAATAAAAATAGGTAAAAAAACTTTTTAAGTTAAACGGTTTTATATTAAACATACATTGCAATGTTTAAGATAAATGTACTAAATTGTATTCTGCTCGTTGAGCTCTTTCATTTGATACCCATATTGATGGGATTGATAAAACCTACGTTATCCGCCATTTTGTAGCGGCCGCCATCTTGGATTTAAATTGTTTATAGTAGCTATATTGTATTCTGCTCGTTGATCCCTTTCATTTGATACCCATATTGATTTGATTGATAAAACCTACGTTATCCGCCATTTTGTAGCGGCCGCCATTTTGGATTTATAATTGTTATGATTACACATAATTGTATTGTCACCAAAATCGAAAGTGTATACAAAATTTCATTATATCGGTTGACAGGAAGAGGGTGAAATTTGAATTACTAAATTTGACCCAAGAAAGAATAAAACTGAGCTAAATAAAACCGTTTAAATAAAAAACAACCTACTCGACCTTTTTAATCAATTGTAGATTACGTAAATGAAATGTTAATTTGTATAGAATAACATTGGCAATAAATAAATTTAAATTTATCTTCGTGACTTTAAAAACATTTTCTTTTTTATTTGTTTTTTGGTGTTACATGTAATGACCGTGTTTATGCTTGCAGGGTTTGTATTTCAATATGTAGCCAGACCACCGCGCCTAAAAATAAACCATCCATTTTTATTTTTTATCACTGTTATTAAAGAACAGTTGTTCGCGGGAAAATTTCAAGGAAATTAGCAAAAACATGAAATAAAATAAACAATGGAATTTAAAATTTGTTGTTGTCTTTTTACACTGTCTATTCTTTTTAAACGATATGAACTGAAATATGAAGCTGAAAGAGAATGTAAAGACATTATCCATCAGTATCTAGCTTCAATGACAGATAGGCTGACAGACTATTTTATTTTTGTCCTTTCAAAAGTAAATATATTTGGTTAAGGGGAAATAAATAAATTTAAATTAAGTTTAGTATTAGTTAGAATATAATAATCACAGTAAGGATACAGAAAAAAGCAAAAGCACTTAAGCATTCTCCCGTCTGGTGGATTGCGTTAGCTAGATACAGATCAGGTCAAATGCTAAATTAAAATTTGGCAACAATTCGATCTCTTGTAGATACCCATAAACCTGATATTTTTGAATAAATCAAGTTCACCATAATCACTGTTGCTTTAAAAGCTGTGGTAGCCCTTGGTATGCTCTGCAGACGGTGAGCGACGGTAGTTAGTTGCCCGACCAGAACCACCAGAACCAGAGAAAGAAAGTGGTAGTTTTGATTATATAAAAATATTCAAAACTGCGGTACATTAATTGCGCTTTTTACGATATCTTGGCTTAAATTATTATTTGTCGCTCATGCACACATAAAATAAGTGGTTAAATTCTGCTGTTTATTTTTTTATCAATAAATGTTTTATTTATTTATTTTATTTTTATTTATTTATTTTGTATTGTTGACTAATTAAATATATTTCAATTAAATCTACAAATTAGCGATGAACGTCATTATTTGGTGCTGAAACGGACTTTTAGTTTTTTTTATTAATTCTTTGAAATACTAATTTGGCAAAAGTTCCAAGTTAAACAGAAATATTTCACTAATACGTACAAATAATAATAATGGGCGATCGCGAAAAATATTTTAGTCCCTCAGATAACGGAAATGTCGAGTTAAATAGTTCAATAAGAATCCAAACAACAGTCTATTCAGGCTGTCTAGTCATTCGACTACTCGTTTGATTGGATGACTAAATGTCTATTTTTATTACATTATATTAAACCGCAAATTCTTTAATTAATCGTCGCCTTACATTTATTACAAATTTATGATTGCAGGAATTCAAATACAATCAAAATATATGAACACAGTAACATTGAATGCAAACCATCCATTTTATTTTATCATAACATCTCATAAGGATCAAATGTTTGCTGGCACATTTACAGGAATAAAATAATAACTAATTAACCTTAATTTAATAAAATATTATTTTCATTAATAAAAGTTATTTGTTTTTGACTTCCTATAGGTACACGGTATACAGAATTTGAACAAGCTTGCTAGACTTATGTAACAGACATTGACGAGTCTGTAGTAGTAGTATTTTTTTATTGAAATAATATAGAAAAAAATGTCCCCAATACGATTGAATAAACGCAATAAATGGTCTTAGTGGCCTGGGAGGTTAAGGAGCCCGCTTGTCATGCATGTAGCTTCGAAACCTGACAAGTACCAATGTGACTTTTTCCGAGTTATAAGTACATACTTTCTATAATTATTTAGACACTTCTGACAAACGGTGAAGACAAACATCGTGAGGAAACCTGGGCTTATAATTTATAATTATAAGTTTGAAATCGCCAACCCGCATTGAGCAAGTGTAGTGATTAATGCTCTTCCTTTTCCGTGTAAGAAGAGGCCTTTGCTTAGCAGTAGGCACTTATATAGGCTCTAACTTGGAAAAAGTCACATTGGTACTTGCCAGGTTTCGAACCCACATCCTCATGCATGAGAAGCGGGCTCCTTAACCTCCGGGCCACCACGACATTTACGTAAATATACTAACTACTTATTATGACAAACTAGTTAATTCATGAAAAAAAAAAATATATCCACAACGCACTCTTAGCGAAAATAATATTATTTATTTATGTTTTGTATATATTCACATACAGCAGACAGGATAACACATTCATAAAATTTTTATTTGGATTTCTTCCTATAAA